TTTAAAAATTAAAGTAATAAAAATGTAAATCTAAGCAGAAAACAAAACCAAACCTGAGTTCTGGGTTTCTTTGGATTCTCACACTCTTCTAGATTTTGGCCACGCAGTTTTTCTGTATATTGTGAACGCCTAGATAATTTTAAGATGTTTTCTTGTTTTTGTATATCATCCAGTTTTTAATTTGTCTTTGGTAGAAGGATTGGTCTTGATCTCCTAGCTCCATTATTAGAAGTATCTACCATCTATTTTTTTTTCTGTAGGACAAAGTATTTATTGAGCATTTACTGTGTGACAAACACTTCTAAGCATGTATATGTAGTGGCAAGCAAGACAAAGTCTCTGCCCTTTAAAAAGCCCTCATTTTTCTAAACTAATGGCTATGGAATACTTGAACTTTAAGCAAATGTCAGTCTCTGCTTTCTGAGGATTTCCATGGTGAGCTAGAGCGTCATGCAGTAGATTCTTAAGCCCCAGCCCCAGGCTGAATTGGAGGGCCATAATAAAGTTTGCACAAAGCCTGAAGTAGGGGGGAGAGCTTGGAGGAAAGAACCTGAATGGGTAAGGGAGGGACTACATTTAAGAGATAACTTGAATTTCACACATGACTGGCAGAGAGTGGAGAAGTGACATTTGAGGAATCTGTGTTTGTGTCTTTTCTATCCCACAGATACTCAGAGTAGAAGTGAGAATGAGGAAGATTTGCACATAGCCATGAAACCTGCCCGAGTTGTGGAAAGTCCTTGGACTCTAGCAGCCCTCTACCCAGCTTTATCCAAGAGTGGAAAGGAACACCAAGGCCATTTCAATTTTGCAGCACCATCCAAGAAACTAGTACCTATCAAGAATGTTGTCACACCTTTGAAACCTGGCAAGCATGACATTCAACCACCGATGCCCACCACAGTCTTTGAACTCACCCAAGCACCCTCTAGGCAGGCTAAAAGTAAGGCTACCTTTCAAACTACATTGCCCACCCTGAAGGTGGATAAGCCAACCATGCCCTCCATAGAGGTCCCCTATCCTTAAATAAGCGACCTCTAAGAGATCCCCATGGCTGAGTACTCCAAAGAATCCTATGTCACAATATATTCCACTGCATCTGACATATCCTTCTATGTTTCCAAAGAAGAATTATCCACATCTCCCCTGCTTCTTCCTCTTCCTCTCTCTGCCTAAGGGTGGTGATGGTGGGGAGTGGTTGGTAAAGGCACACAGAAAGCCATTGAGGCTCTCAGGGGAACCATTCTGATCTAGCTTTCTATCAAGAATGCATCTCAAGGGGCTAGGCAAGGGGAAAACTGTTGTGTGTGGTCTTGGAACTGGTTGCTATCAAGTTTATCTCATCCTAACACCTCCATAATATTCTCTGCTAAAGAAGTGACTGTGCATATAAGTAAAGGCAACCTCTCAGGAAGCCAGAGGTAGTGGTCTATTCTTTGGACCCCTCGTGATCAACCAGGGTGATGACGGCTGGGGCATGGGGGCAATAGTGTTGCCATCTGAGTGATCTCATTCTCTGGGCCAGAGAATGAGAGGGGCATGGGTCAGGGACAAAGATCTCATTCCCACCCCACATTATCTGCCCTATTGTGCAGTGGGCTACTTCCTGATAGCCTGTGGTTTGCTGATTCCCTAATAAGAGGGTGGGTACAATCCATGCATACTCAAGAGCTTTTGACTTTGAGGGGAAACCAGAGCTTAGAACAAGTATCTGGAACCCCTTCTACCTGGGAGCCCAAAGTTAGAAGCAGCGAGTTGAGCTCTTCCCACTTACACTTCCTTTCTGGACCTGAGCCGCCTCTTTATGATGGTGATGTAAGGCAGACTACCACAGCATCTTCCTTCTGGCTCAGATCTCTCCTGCGCTACCTGTGGAGCTGTGTCCTCTAACAGCCACATTACCATCCCAGAAAGCAGGGCTCTCTGGTTTGGGGCCTCCATTTACACACACCAGCCAGTCCTACACTAACAAACAGCTAGGGAGATCAGGAATAGCACTCCCTGTGTAGACAGGCACATAGATGCTGATGACCCAGACACTGGAGTGTATGAAAAGCAGCAGGACCTGGCTCTGCTGAAGTATGTGACCTTGAGGGCAGATCACAAACCCTCCCAGCAAGGGGATTCTCCACTGTCACTTCTCTAGGTGCTCATCCCAGCCATAGCCCAAGGATGCCCCACCCCTTAGTCACACCTTCCCAGTCTGAAGCCCGCACCCACAGACCTACTCCAGTCATGGCCATACCTGGTTGTCCCATGCTGGTCACAAAGTAAAATTTTACTGGCACCCACCGGACATGAAGATTTAACCCAAGGCAGCATTGTTCTTGGGGTTCTTGGATGTGTCTTGATGAGCCAAGATGTTTCTGGCAGGTGCAAGGGCCGCTGTGGCTCCACTGGCCCTAGTTACAGCCCAGAAGCTGATGCCTCCTCTAGACGCCCAGCTTATACACACTTAGGTCCTCACCTCCCAGCCTGATGTCCAGCACTTCCTCCCAACCCACCCCAATCTCAGTTGGTCCCTTTAAGCCACTTAAAGCACATCTTGAGCTCAAGCTCCCCCAACCCTAGACCCAGACCAGGTTGGCCCCAGCAGGTAAAGACCAAAGAGGTCGTTATGTAGGCTGCTCCCCTGCAAGGCCCTGTCCTGACCCCACATGCCCTTCCCTTCCACTTCCCCTCCCTGAGCAAAGACACTGTCGGGCCAGAGGATGAAACATGCTTTATGCCCTGAGGTGATCAGGAGAGACTCGAGCAGGGGCCCAACATTCACACTGCAATATAGAAAAGTGGTCTGTCCCCCTCATCCCACCTGTAGATCCAGTCCCTTCAGTTTCAGAGTATTCAATGCACATTTGGTTTGGTTGTTCCAAGTATGGAGAGCTAGATTTTCCTCTTAATTCCTCTATCCCTGTGGTACACAGAAAGTCAAAGGAAGTTGCATGGTGGGGCTGGTCTGAAACAGGAGACACATCTAAGGATCATAGGCTCTCACAACCGGGAAGGCCACAGCAAGCTCAGACTAGACCAACCCAGGTGCCAGAAGGGTGGATGGAGGGAAGTTCTGCATCCCAGAGAGAGGCCTCACTGGAAGAACATCAGAGGCCCAGTCGGTATGGTCAGTGGTGGCTGGCCAGCCCAGCCTCACTGCCAGGATGGCAGAAGTCTTCCCCAGCTGCAGGGGTAGCTGATGGGCCTGAGCCCACTGCCTCGAGAGCAGGCTTGGAACCAGCACCTCCCGCTGACTGTTCACTTGCCACTCCTGGAGCCCCGCTGTTTGCTCATAGCTGTGAGCATCTGGCTAATGTAGGAAGTCAGGAGGTCATCCATCTTGTAGCCCTGGAAGCAGGGGTGAGAAGATAAGCAGAGCACATGGTGGGACGGGGCCAGCCACTCAGACCATAGCACAGCTCCCAGGAATCTGCAATGGACAGAACCCAGGACAAAGGCAAATCCCTCCCACTCAGGACTCATCTCCCATCTGCACAGTTGAAGGGTTGAATTCATCCAGCCAGATGGTTAAGGTTCTACACTGTTAGGACCCCACGTTAGGCCCCTAGCTTGTGGGTCCCTCAAGTCACAGATCCCTCCCTCCAGGAGTGACTCTACTGGCTCTCAGTTGAGCTATGTCTTGGAAGTTTGAGCTTGGTCCAGGAGGTCTCGTTAATGGTTCCACTATTGAACTCGGGGACTAAAGGGCTGTCACTGCGGGCTCAATCTCCAGATAATGAAGGCACTCAAACAACAGTTGTTGAATGAGGGGTCTGTTCCTCAGCCCCAGATTAAGTCCCTTCCCCAGACCTAAGCTGAGCCTCAAACTGACCTGACCTTGGCCCCAGCATGACCCTTGCCCATGACCCCAGGCCCAACCGCACACTACTGTTTGTTCCAGGCCCTGAGAGGCTGGCTAAGCTGCAGGCAAGGCAGGGAGCCCACCAGGCCAAGCAGGATGCGCCCTCACCAGTGATGTCTCGCAGAGCAGTTTGCTCCCGCGCACCAAGTTTCCAATGGTGATGTGGAAGTAGGTGTTGCCGCTGCTCCAGTTGGAGATCTTGGTGAAGGGGTGAGTGGTGAGGATGTCCTGGGGGAGCAGAAAGGGCATGGAGAGGCACAGCCTGGGCCCTGTGGCCTCACTCACCCACACATGCCCTCACAGAAGGCCTCAGGCCCTCAGAGGAGCCCATGGCCGGAGGGAAAAGCCAGTTCTGCCATCCAGCTGTGGTGGGAAGCAGGTGCCTCCCCCTCCACACCTTGGTTTGGACACCCAGGGAAGTCTAGGAGGCTGTTGGGTAGGGGTACTTGGGGCCAGAACTGGGAAATTGGGAGGCCTAAGGGAACTGACACTGTGGCCTGAATGAGATGGCCCAGGGAGAGTTTGAGGAGGGAGTCAAGAAGAAGACAGGGCAGAGCCTTGGGGAACACAGCATACAGGAGCAGGCACAAAAGGGTCCGGGAAGGAATGACCAAAACACAGAGGAGAGCCAGGAATGTGTGACGCATGAAGCCAATGGACAGATGGTGGCCACGAGCCCTCTTCACTGCCTGTCCAGTCAGACCCTCTGGGTGTGCAGTCGGGCTGCTCTGGCCCAGAAACACAGATGCACAGTCACCCCTGCACAGCCGGCCCCACAATCCACATGGGCAGAGCATCCAGTGATACTGAAAGGCCAAGTACTAAAAGCTCAGATTCCATAGGAAGGAGTTTGTTAGTAACTTCAGGAGAGCAATTTTTGTGGAGCAAATGTTGGGTAAAGTCCCAGCCAACGCTGACAGCTTTTGAAGTCGCATGATGGGTGGATGAGTCTGGAGATAGACGGTGGCTCGGAGGGCTTGCGGGGTTTGTTCCGGGACTGTGTCTGAGGTTCAGGCAGAGAAGCCCACCCCCACTTGCCTTCTTATCCCTGCTCACCTTCGTTCTGGGATCGATGAGGCTGACCCCATACTTGTTGATGGCAATTAGGAGGATCTCAGGGAAGTTTGGCTCCGTAGTTTGCTAGAAAAAAAGATGAGAAGGCATCAGATGGGGGCCCAGAGCAAGAAAAGCGTTTGGGGAAAGGAATGAAGCCTGGCCCCAGCTGGGATAAAGTCAGCCTCTCCTGTTGCCTATGTGGTGCTGACGGCCCTGCCATGACCTCATGGCCTCCACCTTCGCTGGGCCTCAGTGCTGCCCCACATCCCTTCATGGGTCCCCCAGGCCATCCTTTGCTTTGTCCTCCCTCTCAGCCCAAGGGCATCTCATCTTTACAAAGCTTCCTGAACCCTGCCTCTGCGTCCAGCTACTTACCTGTTCTCGCACAGCCGAGCTTCTCAAAAGGCCTCCGATCCTGGCTGTGTGACAAGACCACATCTGTCCTCTCACACAAGCCTCCTCACCATACTCCTGCCTCTGTTGTGCCCCTCAGACCCCTCCTCCACCCACAGCCTGAAAGGCTTTCTGGCCATGTCACCTGGGTTGAAAACCCTCCAAGGCAGGCCACCCCTGCAGGAAACCCAGCCTCTCACCTGCTCGGCAAGCTGCTGCTCTCCACAGCCTGCTCTTGCCTCCTGCCCTCACTACTTGCATTTCCTTCCCAGACCTGAGTTCTCACGCCTCCAGGCCTTTGTCTATGCGGGAACCCTGCCAGGAGCACTCTTTCCAGGATCTCCCTGGAAAGCTCAGATATCACCCCCTCTAGGAGGCCTCCTCAGACCCAGCAGAACCTCCCGAGCTCTGCCACCTGGGCGAGGGCTCCCCACTGTCAGAGCATAGGCCGTCCTCCATTACCCCGGCCTGTTTACACGCCTGCCTCCACTGCCAGGCTGAGCTTTTGGTCCCTCTGTCCCCAGGACTTAGCCCAGCTAAGACGCTGAGCTGGGACAAGGCTGAGGGTACTGCCCTCCTTCCCTCACCAGGGCAGGTGTCCAAGGCCATGGCTGTTTCCCACAGTCCTGGGGAGGAGTCTCTGTGCCTTCTCAATGCCCTGTTCCCCTCCTCCTCTGTTCTGAGAAGCCCATGGTGTACCTTCACCTCGAAGAAGGCTGAGCCAAATGTGGGCCACTTGAAGATGAGCTTCAGGAAGGCCAGCTTGGCCTCCTCCTTGGACTTCCCTGCGTGCTTGTTGAAGTAGGCGACGATGGACTATGGGGACAGGGGGGTCAGGGCTGGGCTCAGTCCTGGGGACAGGCCTGCTCAGGGCAGGCCTGCTCAGAGCTCAGAGTCCTCCCCACACCACCCCTGCCCACTCCAGCCCCATCCTGGAGTGCTGTGAAGGGCTCTCCCCATATTTCAGCTAATGGACTCCCGACCTCCCTTCTCACCCCCAGGCAGGCAGACCAAATGGTATCAAGGACAAGCAGGTCACCATGGTAACTGGGACAGGGCAAATGACTGCCAATTGGCCACTGAGTGCTTGGCATGGAGGACTGAAGGATAAGGCAGGCAGAGGAACAAGGGTGGGCGGCCTCATCGAGTACAGGAACCACAAGACACACCTCCCTGGGCTGCTGGCCAGTGTCTGCCCCCTTGGCCCCTGGGGTGCCCAGAGGCCCATTCAGGGCCCCACCATTCCTGCTGCCCACCCCATGCTCACCCGCTTCCAGTCATCAGGCGAGACCTGTCGGATAAGGTCCTGGGGCACCAGCTCCCGCAGCAGCTTGGGGATGCTGGGGAAGTAGGACTTGTCCTCCTCGAACTTGACCCTGTAGATCAGCGCCCCCAGCTGCAGCACCTCCTCCCGCGTGCACTTGTGGTAGCCTCGGAGATACTTGGGCAACTCCTGCCAGAGACAGAGCAGGTCACAGGCGTGCAGGGACCTGGCAGAAGTGGGCTCTTTTCCTACCACACCAAGATCCCCAAGGCCAGGGTCTACCACCTTACCCCGCACATGGACCCACCCACCTCTCCAGCCTCAGCTGACACTGCCCCCCCAGGGGAGATGGCACAGGACGGGGACAGAGCAAGTCTGCCTGCACAGACTCAGCACTCGGCAGTTGGAGCGCATGGCCTTGTCTGTTACCTCATATCCCCCTGTAACAGTCCAGTGAGATGAGCAGCCCCATTTCAAGATGAAGAAACTCAGAGTGACCAGTTGGCAACCCTGAGACTGTTCTATACCTGTCACCTCCTGGGCCCATTCTCCTTTGGAAGAGCCTCTCAGTCTGGCCTCCTTGCATTGGGTTCTCTTGAGACCAGCTGTTTTAGCAGCAGCAGCAACAGAGGCCCTCATACCCCCTTGAACTTCCAGACCCCAAACCTGAGGAACTTATGCTGGGGAATCAGCCCAGGGCAGAGACGAAGCCTCTGAAGGGCTGGGGCTGCCCACAGACTCCTGGAGCCTTATGATCATCTCATGCCCAATTTGAAAGGTAGAGAAACTGAGGCTGACCTGAGGACATACTGTCAATCAGACACCTGAGTCAATCATTAGCTATCCTATCCACCCATACATGTGGTTATGGGTCTATCTACCTACACATCTATCTCCATCCATCTCCCTATCTGTCCATCCATCTACCCACCCATCCACCCACTCACCTGCCTACTCACCCATTCACTCACCAATATCCACCCATCAATTCACTCAGCATTCATCCTCCCACCTATATGTTCCCTGAGTCACCGGTTTACCTATTCCCCATTCATCAATCCAACAAGTATGCATTGAACATCTGTGAGCCAGGCCCTTTAAGCAACAAGGCCTACCCTCCCTACTCCCATGGAACTTGGAGTCTCAGGGCAAGGACAGACATTAAAAATCATACCAAACAGATACATAATGACAACCTTCGAAGGAATTGTTCGCAGTGCCATAAGAGAATATAACAAGGTGACCTAATCTAGGCTTGAGGACGGGGCAGACTTCCTTTAAGATAAGATGGCTGATTGACATCTAAAAGCTCAGTAGGTGAGGGAAGAGCATCCCAACATTACGACGGCCCCGTGGCACACTTGAGAAGTGGAAAGAATCCAGCTGAGCCGAAGGAGAGCCAGGTACAAGGCAAGGCAGCAGGAGCAGGTAGTGGTACCACCCGGCAGGACCACGGTCAGGACGGGGGTTACGCCCTAAGAGCAAGGGGAAGCCACTGGGGGAATCTGGAAAGCAGGACGACCACCCTGTGGAGAAAGGGTTGAAAGGGCCAAAATGGATGAGAAGAACAGGGAGAAGGTCACTGCCTCCATTCTGGATCAGAGATGATGGTGGACTGACCCAGGTTGGGAAGGTGGTGATGGAGACACATGGGGGATTTGAGAGATATCCAGGAGGTACAGTCATCAGGTAAGTGATTTGGGACGTGGGAGAGGAGGAGCAAATGTCAAGGCTGACTCTGGGGGAACTGGCAGTCCAGGGGCCATGCACTCAGTGGGCAGCAGGGGGTGGGTGGGGAGGGGCATGAGGGAAAGGCAGTTCCTAGGTTTGGATGAGGGCAGTCCTTCTCACTCCCAGGCCAGTGTCCTCTCTGCCACAGTAGCCACCATCCCTGCCTCCTCTGCCCTTCCTAGCATCCTGGTTTTTCTCCCACAGAATGGCAAGCAGGTTGGGCCCAGAAAAGAGCACCAACCTGCAGTCATGAAGACCTGGAATCAAACCCCAGTTCCATTAGCTCTGTGATCCTACTTGCAGCACGTGGCCTCTCTGAGTCTGTTTATCCCTCTGTCAAATGGGGACAACATGCCTGCTTCTTGGGGTTATTGGGAGGACAGAATGAGAGAAGAATGCCAGATACATAATAGAGGCTCAACATGCAAGCCTCCCTCCCGGCTTCCTTCAGGTGCCTGTGCTAGAAAATGTTTGCACAGAGGCCTTGGAGTTACCCAGTTATAGCAGCAGAATCTCGAAGTCAGAGAACAGCCCTGCACTGAAGGAGGGGCCTGAACAGGTAGGGATCAGAAGCTCAGAAGAGGAACTGTCAAGCCCCTAAGGGCTGAAGAGTCAGGAGATACAAGGATCAAGGGTTGGGCCCTCTCTTGGGGCTCCAGTGGTCTTGGCAGGAATCCTTTCAAGGCCAGGCTGGTACAGGCCCCACACCTGGCAAGGGCAGTGGGTCTCTGCTTTCAGGGCCAAAGTACAGCAACACTAGCCATGCATGAAGGCAACTAGAGTGCAGAGGTGCCCACCTGGTAATAGTGGAAGATGGAATCGGCCATGGGGTCCTTCCCTGGTACCGTGGTGGTCCACAGCTTCTTCATGAAGAACACCTGGTAGGTGAGTGAGGGCACAATTCCTGCAGCACAGGGCAGTCGGTCACCCAGAGGGTCCCTGCACAGAGGAGTGCTCACATCCCGAGCCCAGCCCAGCCCCAGCCCCAGAGGAGACCCTCGCTCAGGCCCGCCTAGGTGGGCCTCACAGCATGGCCCTGAACCTGTGCCTCCCTACTCTGGGCCTCAGATGATCCCAGGACCCGGCCTCATTACCGTCCTTGATGGGCCGAGCTTTCTTTATCCAGTCTGTCAAGTGTCGAACAAAGTCAAAGAAGAAGTCATTCTCAGGCACGCTGATGACCTGGGGACAGGGCCATTGAAGCACACTCAGTTTAAGAAACACTGCATTTTCTGACCTTCCCACCTAAGGCCTGTCTGGCAGCTCCTTCTCAGGGAAGACTCCACTTCCAGCCAGAAGGGGTTTCTGTGGGTCAGCCCCACCCTGCCCCATGTGCCTGTTGAGTGTCCCCAGAACAGCCCACTTCTTGCCGGGAGTGATGGTCATTCCATTCAGTGCCTGGGACACTGAAGGCTGCCTTAGACTCAAGGGAAACTGGACAAGAATGCAGCCCAGCCCCTGGCTTGGACATTCTCTGGCATCCATGTCCAGATCCTCCCGCAGCTCTGGGCACCCCTGGGTCTAGGACCTCATCAGGGTCACCTCTGGGTCCCAGTGTCTGGCACAGAGACAGTCATGAAGTGAGCAGACAGACACAGATGCACACAGAGCCATCAGCAGGCAACAGGATGAGGCACCTAACTCGATCAGGGAGGCCTTCCCATGGAGGGGGCTTTAGCTAGGCCTGGAAGACTTCCAGGGACAGAGGTGTTTGGGGAAATGTGATGTGAGATGGTAGCAGGGGCATGAGCTTTAGAGTCAGACCCACCTGGAGCTCAGTCCCTGCTGTGTGACCTTGGACAAGTTACCTAACCTCTCTGAGTCCTAGTTCTGTGATCTATCAAGTGGGGATGATCACACCTTATTTCAAGGGTTAATTTGCCCTAGCATGGCAATTAAGGGCCAGTCAAAGCAAATCCGGAAAGAATGTGTGTTGGGGCAGGGTGAGGGTCTGGTGTGTCTAAAACACAGAGCACCTGGGCACATGCCCCTAAGAGGGTCTGAGCCATGTGCAGTGCCTCAGAAGAGAGAGAGCTGGGGGCAGCCACTCCATGTAAGGGATGGAAGAAGATGGCCAGATGCCAGTGCCCTCTTCCCCTCTCTCCCCTAGTCCCTCTGTCTTCCCTCTGCTGTCCATAAGTTCTTATTGCCCCAGCAAATCTCCCACCTTGGCAAAGGTGGCGAAGGTGGTGAAGGACCCACCTTGTCTGCAATTTTGACAAAGAGGCTGAATCCCTCTGAGGACTTGAGGAGCAGCCTGGTGGCGATGTTCTGGCAGAAGTCCTTGGCCTTGGTGCTGGACTCCACTTCGAAGGCCTGGGAGGGGCGGTGAGCACTGGGCTCCTGCAGGGCCTTTCCCAGGACCTGGTCTTTCCCGGGCCCCTCTGGCTGTGCCTCCTATACTGAGCCCCCTCGCGTGCCAGACACCCTCCTGTGGACCCAGAGCTGGGCATGGCGTTTAACAAAAGGAAAGGGCTACACCTGTCTGGGTCTTCCCAGGTCTCCTCCTCCCGACCCTCCAAGCAGAACGTGGCCTTGGCGTCCAGAGTCCTGGGCCGGGGTGTACAAGCCTGAGTGACAGTGAGGGGTCCAGGGAGCACAGCGGGATGACTGGAAGGGTGATTGGGAGGAGGAGACTTGAGGTAGAGGAGAAGCAAACCCAAAAGTGGAGGGGAAAGCAGCCCAGACAGATGGGAGGGTTTGAGCATCTGGGGAAGTTTAGATGCAGGAGGAGAGATGTCTGGAGGGACAGGAACGGATGTGAGGAAGTCCTTGGTCCTTGCAACTAAAATCCTGTCGTGGCATTTCTGAGTCTCCAGCCTCAGACAAATTTCATCAACGACTCTTCAAATGAAAAGTTTATCTGAATGAGACACTGTGTTGAGACAGGCAGGGGCTGGGGACCATGAGGGGCAGCGTGACTACAGGCATGACAGACAGGACCTTTGGCAGACGGGACCTGGATGGAGGGAACCTCAACCACCTCAGGTGGGGAGGGAGGAAGGGGTGTCGAGGTTCTGGCTGCAGGAAAGTGGGCTCAGGTGACAGGGGAGGCCTGGACCTGGGGGCCAGCGGGACCCTGCACCAGGGAGGTGCAAAGCCAGCTCAGAGGGAGAAGTGCTTTTCTCCAAGGCAGGTCCTCCTCAGAGACAGGGAGGGAGGGGTGCCCTTCTGAAGGAAGCTGCTCCAGGAAGCAGGGTCTGGATCAGGAACTAAGAGCCCCTGACCTGGGGAGTCGATGGCCTTTGTCCTGAGCTCTGACTCCACTATGGGGAAGGAGGACGAGGCAGCAAATGTTGGGTGTTGGGGGAGAGGCTTAAGGCTGCCTTTGGTGTCCACCCAGGAAGCCCAGCCCTGTCCTGGGCACTGCAGACCTAGAAGCTGGCGACCCTCACCTCGTCAGTGTCGTCAGGGAAGTAGACCTTGTGGAAAATCTGGGTGGTCTTGTGCTGGATGGCCTCCACCTCCACCAGGTGTGGAGGGTACTTCCGGGACCCATTTCTGAAAAGGTGACAGAGGCAGCAGGGAGCAGGTGCGTGGGACTGTGGAGACCAGGGGACCGGGACATTTGGAGGCAGACAACCCCAGTTCTGATCCTAGCCTGCCACTTCCTATGATGTGACTGGCCACTGAGTCTCCCAGAGCCTTGAGCTCCTCATCTGTAAAATGGGACGATGGGTGTGGAGAGGCCCAGCAAAGTGAAGAACGCAGTGCCGTTGGAGAGTATGAAGTGGGCCCTGGTGTCTGTGCCCACCGATAGCCTGGGAGCTCTGGGCTGAGCACTCCAGAGCAGCCGGACTCTCCAGCTGCATCCCGAGCGGCTGCGGGGCCTGCACCTCCTTCTACCTGGCAGTTGAGGTACCCCAGGGGTTGGCCCAACTGCTATGTGGTCCTCATCCCCAAGGGGCTCGTTCCACAAGCCCAGTGTGGCCAGGAGCCTGCCCCAGTGTCTGCCCCTGCCCCTGGCAGCCGCTGTACCTCAGAGCTTTCTGGAGCCGCTGCAGGCAGTCGATGGCTAGTGGGCAGTGCTTTCGGGACTGCAGGAAGCGCTGCACGTGGGGCAGGAGGATGTTGCTGGGTGGGAAGAGGCCCGTGCACAGCCAGAGCAGCTCCCAACCTCGCTCCTCGCTGTACCTGCAGGAGGAAGCGCGGGCTCCAGCAGGGGCAGTTGCCATAGGGAGTCACAGGACCTGTACACCCCCCGGTGAGGGGGCCACACACCCCTCAGCTGCTCATCACAGCAGCACTGTCCCTCCCGATCCTTAACCTGTCTCAGGACCCCTCAGCCTACCTACAGACCCCTCTCCCTGACAGCCAGATGCAACCAGTGCTACCCAAAGTGTGCTTGGCCCACCGCACCAGGCCACACACTGCTAGCACATGGAGATAGGAGGCTTATGTCACAGTGAAAAGCCACCAGTTTACCATGCCCTCTGCTTCAGCTGAGGCTTTTTGTTTGTTTCCATAGCGAGACTTTCTCCATGAAGGAGGCAGTGTGATTTATATTTTGGCAGAAGCTCTTTAATTCACCTGTACTTTGAGTGGCAACGAGTTAGACCAGTCCCACCCCAGGCTCCTTCAGCGACCACTCTGAGCTTCTTGGATCTGACAGTGGGAAGTTTGGAGGGCTTCTAGGAGGAGGTAGCATTTGAACTAGGCTTTGAAGGATGAAGCAAATTACAGCATGCAGAGACAGGGCTGAAAAGTTTTCCTGGCTGTGGGCACAGCATGTACAAAGGTTTGGCACTGTCAAAAGAGCTGATGTGTAGTTTGAGGATGGATTTGTGGAAGAGATGTAGAGGGTGACACAGCTGGGGAGGAAGGCGGGGGTCTGGGTGTAAGGAGAGAGGGTGGAGCTTCTCTCAGACTCTGAGAGGAGCCGGTACCTGACTTCCTACTCCTGCCTCGGGCTGTCCCAAGGGGAGGAGAAGGTGGCACCCTTTGGGCATTGGGCCCAACACCCAAACCCATGAGAGTTTTCAGCCAGTGCTTTCAGCTGACAGCTGGCCCAGCCTGCACCAGGGAGGGGACACTTGACTGAGCTGGACCTGCAGGCAGACAGCAGCATCTAGGCAGGGGAGGGGCATCCAGAGGGGGCTCCAGCCAAACAGGAGGCGCTGGGGCTGCTACCCTTAGAGGACAGACTCAAAGGAAGACAGCCACCACCTCCCAGTTCCTGCTAGGCCTTCCTTGGGCCTTGGAGCCAAGCTAGGATGTGAGGGGGCCCATGAGCAGCTCCTGGCTCTGTGTGAGGAAGGACTGCATCCAGGCAGAGCCAGCGGCTGTCTCAGGAGGGAAAGAGCTGCCCGTCACAGCAGGTGGGGTCTGCCCCTCATCCACCCACCGTGCCTGGCTCACCTGATGTGGTTGTCGGTCAGCTGCTTCAGGATCTGCACGTACGCCTCATCCTTCAGGGGCTCGGCTTTCAGGGGACCCTCAAAGATCTGGTCGGTGAGCTCGTTGACAGAGCGTGTCCTCTTGGACGGGTAGTCGCCCATGTACTTGAGCACAGGTGGGGACTGTCAAGGAAGGGCTTGTGCCGAATAGAGGGGCACTGGCCTGGGGTCTGGAGGCCCCACTCCCCACAGGGCCTGCATCACCTGAAGCTGTGACCCTGGGCCCTCAGGCTGCATACTCACAAAATGGGCATGATCTGCCCCACCCTCTATCCTCGCCTCCTCACAGCCACCAGCCCCGCATCCCAAGCCCTCACAGCAGCTGGGACGGACTGCCCAGATCGCCAATCTGACCATGCCACCCCTGCCCAGTGGTTCACCCTGGCCTTGGGACATGGCCCAAGTTTCCTCACAGGGCTTGGGAACCCTGCCTAAGCCCACTCTTCCCATCCTCTCTGTGCTGAAGCCCCGGAGCCCTGGAACAGCCCTGCTCTGTGTGTGTGTGCGCCTCGGGGCCTTACTGCTACTCCCTCTCTCTGGAACACTCCCCACCCCTCTCCCCTTTGCCTGGCTAAGTCCTACTTTGCCTTCAGGGCTCAGTCTAGATACCACTTCCTCCAGGAAGTCCTCCCTGCCCCCTCCAGGTCACATGGGTCAGGTCACAGCTGCCCGGTCCCATCTCAGCACTGATCTGGATGTGCGTATGGCCCCATGAGGCCAGGGGCTGGGCTGATTCCTGTTCTACCTCCATGCCTGGCCCAGCACAAGGCACCAAATCCACCTGGCACCCAAATGACAGGGTCAGAGGAGAAAATGAGCGAGGCAGCCCCTTGCATATCAAAAGGTGCAAGGGAGGGGGTCCTCCATCAACCCTCCCCACGCGTGCCCAGGCCGCAGCAGGCCCTCAGGAGGAAGGTGGTGTGCAGAGGAAGGCCCTGCCCAGTCCCTGGCTCCGCTGGGTACAGCCCAGTAGTATGGATATCAATGAAGGCCAGGCAGGCCTCCTGCGAGAGCTCCTCACTGCCCAGGAGCTTCTTGAGCAGCGCCTGCTTGAGCGGCTCCCGCGTGTGGCTCCATAGCCGGTCCTTGCCTCGGGCCTTGGACACCATGACGCGGCTCAGTGTGTGCTTGGGTGGGGGCCTGCCATAGCACAGGGACCATCAGCAACGGCCCCACTGCTGGCAGCCCCAGGAGAAACCCCCAGGCTGTGAGACCCCCACCCCCACCTACCCCCTGTGCCCAGAGGCTGAGGGTGGGCACCAGGCCCTGCTCTTCCCTGCCCTGCATGTGACCCGAGGCGAGTCACTGGCAGTCACTGGGCCTTCCTTTCAGCTATGAAACAGTGGTGAGAACACCCCGGGCTGTGCCCCAGCCTCCCCCACCACCCTGCGCCCCCTGCAGAGCTCAGTGCACACCACCTCCATCAGGAAGCTTCTCACTGCACCCCCCGCCCCCCACCCCGAAAGCATCCTCATCACAGTGCTGGGCATGCAGAATCCCAGCTGCCTGCTTCCGGCCCGCATCCCCACCAGGACTGAGCCTGGGGCAGGTGCAGTGATATCTCTTAAATGAAGGAAGGATAAGATGAGACACACAGGACGGGTCATCAGACAGAAACAGCCCTCCAGCTCCCTCTGACCCAGGTCCTGCTCACAGGTGGGGGCTTCACAAAGTATCCCCAGTACACAACCAGACGGTAGCGGAAGCCTGCAGCTCCTAGCCCTGTGACTCCCATCCTTCCCCAGGAGCCATCACCTGAAGTAGTCGTAGGAGAACTCCTCCAGCGTGTAGGGCTTGGCACGCACCTCAGGCTCTGCCGTTCGCAGCTGCAAGAGCCGGACGACGTCCTGCCGCTGGTCGGGAGTCATGGTGACCAGGGCCTAGGGGCCAAGAGACAGGGGGCTCAGGTCAGCTCTCCACCTGCAGCCACCAGAATCAACATGATATACCCTGGAGCCTTCTGGACTCTGGGAGACTCTTCAGGGGGATGGACCCCATGCCCCATTCTGACCCTGGGAGCCCTGTTCCTCCTTGGGGTCTCTGAGGTCCCTGCTGCCTCTTTTGTGCTGAGCTGAGGGCCCTTCCCTGGGTGTCCGATGAGGTCGGGTCAGTCAGAAAGCCTGGACGAGGCAGGGGGACATGGTGTGAGAGCTGCGTCGTCCACTGAGCCTGGCTCAGGAGCCACTGGGGAAGCTGGGCTGTAAGTCCTCAGAGCTGCTCTCAAGGGGGCTCCAGAAGAAGCAGGGTCCCCTTGCCAGCTGTGCCCCCACTGCCTGTTCAGACTGTGCAGGTGATACACCTCTCTCCAGTCCCCATCTCCAGCCCCACCCCTTGGCAGTTCCTCATCTGATGCCATTTCTAGGCCCCTCCCCACCTGGCACAGGTTTGAGCACTGCCCCAACTTTAAATGTGTGGTCCCATAAGATCCCAAGATCATCTTCACAGATGCACTAGACCATTAACCTATCGTACAGCTGTGGGAAGTGGATGAAGAGGGGTCTAATGGCACCTCCCACCCATCTGCTGCCCCCAGGCCACATACCACAATCTCCCGCGGTGGCATGGTGACAGTGGGCATGACGTACACACAGTCGGTGGGGAAGTCCCCACGCTGCTTGGTCCTCTCATTGATGCCGTTGGCCCAGCCCGAGTTCATGACCTGCTCACCCGTGTCGTGGTCCAAGATGATGAGGTCTCCCTTGGCAAAGCTGAGGAAGCCTGACTCCTCGCCCGCTGCACGGCAGAGGTGAGCGGGACCACGGGGGCAGAGACAAGTTGAGTTGGAACATCTTTATTTGGGTTGATGATCTATAAGCCACTACTTCCCACAGAAGAACTGAGGTGCTGTCACTCGTGTCTGCCCACTTGCCACTCTGCCTCCACCTTGTCACAACTCTCCATACAAAGACCATCACCAGAGTGGGCTACTCTCCCGCTCAAAAGCCTTCTACGGCTCCTCATTGCCCTTGGGAGGAAGCCCCACACTCCTAAGCCTGTTGTGAGCGGGCCGCCCAGACTTCCTCCACCTTGCCCCTCCTCCCTCACCGTGCCTGTTTCCAGCCAAACCAGACTGTTTGCAGTTGCCTGGACAGGCCAACTTTCTCCCGCCTCTGTGCTGGCATCACGTTCAGCTTTCTGGCCCCTGCGCTCTGCTCACACGGGCTTCCTCCCTGGACCCCGGTCTGCATGGGGCCTCTCCTCTGGGCTCCTGTGGCTCTGGGCTTCCCTGCTTACTGCACCGTCACAGGCCTGTCACTGTCTGCTTCCCACCCACTCCCCACTGAGGACAGGGTGGGGTCCATTTCATCTTTGTCTTTCCCACACTCTGCCAGGGCCTCGGTGGCCTCCGGCAGAGTGGTTGTTACTGCTGTTATCACTTGAAGATGGTGCATATCTTGAGAACACTGAGGAGGACCCTGATCTAACTTGGAGAGCTGACAGGAGATGAATATTGAAGAGCCAGAAGACGGGAGGGAGAGGAGATTCCCCACAGACCACAGATTGAAGGCTATTTGGTCTAGTTTCAGGGGAAAGATGGGAACAAGACCCTAGCAGCCTTGAGTGCCAAGGCCACGGGGCATGGTCTGTGATATGGTTCAGATATTTGTCCCCTCCAAATCTCTCTGTTGAAATCTGGTCTCCCAGTGTTGGCAGTGGCCTAGCGTGAGGTGTTTGGGTCATGGGGGTGGGGCCCTCATGAACAGCGTGGTGCCGCGCTCACAGTGATGAGTGAGTCTCTGAGAGAACTGATGGTTTAAAAGAGCCTGGCAACTCCTCCTCTCTTCCTTCCTTCTGATGCAAGCACCCCTTCTCCTTCTGCTGTGAGTGGAAGCTTCCTGGGGCCTTCATCAGAAGCAGATGCTGGTGCCATGCTTCTTTTCTCTCTCTCTCTTTTTTTTTTAAGAGATGAGGTCTCACTCTTGCCCAGGCTGGACTGCAGTGGCACAATCATGGCTCACTGCAGCCTCCACCTCCTGGGCTCAAGCAATCCTCCTACCTCAGCCTCCTGAAGAGCTATGACTACAGGCACATGCCATCACACCCAGCTAATTTATTTAATCTTTTGTTGAAACAGGGGTCTCACTATGTTGCCCAGGCTGGTCTTGAACTCCTGGCCTCAAGTGATCCTCCCATCTCAGCCTCTCAAAGCTCTGGGATTGCAGGCATGAGCCACCATGCCCAGCCAGCACCATGCTTCTTGTAGTGCCTGCAGAACTGTGAGCCAAATAAACCTCTTTTCTTTATAAATCTCCCAGCCTCCAGTATTCCATTATAGCAACGCAAATGGACTAAGATAGTCTGCATAACGCCCTGACCCCCAGTGCCAGGCAGCCCATACCAGCAGTCACTCACCGGGGTTGGGGTTATCCTGCAGGGCCACAACATACTTAGATCTCTTCCGGAGCCCCTCTAGGAAGGTGACCACCAGGTCACGAATGTCCTCAGCATTGCTGGAGGTGAAGGTGTATTCGTCCCCCTTGATGGTGGCCAGTGTGAAGCTGGGGGCTGTCGTTTTCGCTCCCCTGCAGGACCAACATGGAGAACAGGGCCCCGCCGGGGTCAGTCCTGCCCAGCCTGAGTGAGGCGCAGCACAGCCAAGATCAGAGCAGCCCAGTGAGAGCCAGACACGGCACTCCCTGAAGGAGACCAAGGCCAGTCGAGTCAGACATGCCCCAGCCAGTGGGAGATGTGGCCCAGCTCAGACACATCTCAGGTTAAGTCAGAGCTGGCCTGGCCAGAGTCGGGCATGGCCCAGAGGGAGACCCACACTGGCCGAACCCACTTCTCCTTTGCCTAATTCCTACTCACCCTTTAAATCTCAACCTATATGCCACTTCCTCCAGGTAGTCCTCCCTGCCCTCCCACAGCCCTGATCATAGCATGCTTTAAAATGGCCTATTCAATGTCTGTCTCCTCTCTTGACTGAAGATCCAAGAGGACAAGGACTATCTTGTCACTACTGCATCCTGTGTGCCTGGCATGTGTCTGGTCTCCAGCCCATATCAGACATAACCCAAAGACACTGCTACAAGCCCCAGATGGTGGGGGAGGGAGCCACTGCACTGCTGGGAAAGCCAGTCAGTCCCAGCAACCCACCCCACCATTCCACCTGTGTGGCCGTGCTCTGCAGTTTACAAAGAGCTCTCCCATCTATTATTGCATTCATTCCTCACCACTGTTATGCAAGAAAAGTATTAAGACTCCTGCTTTAGGAATGAAGACAGAGAGTACGTGCTACCCAGGCCCCTGAACCCCAGGTCAAGTTCTTTTGTACATACTCGCCTGCCCCTACCTCTCCTGACAGCCCAGTCCTGTCTCAGAACAGCCTTAATGTGCTGTAAAGCCCACGCCCATCCCTCCGCTAGGAGGTGCCAGAGGGGTCTTCACAGTGCGGTACAAACTGCCCAATCACGAGCAACCAGGCAGGCCACTTCATGTCTCTTCACTTCCAGTGACCCGCAGGGAAGCTCCGGCCCCTCTCCTTCCCCTCTGTCTGTCTGCGTCTCCATGCGGCCCTCCTCACCTGCTGCTGGACACGGCCATGATCTCTGGGAAGGACAGCTCCAGAAGTACCTGCTCCTGCTCATCCACAAAGTACACGCCCGTCCAGTTGACAGCCACGATCACGTCGTTCTTGGGGAGGCTGGGGCCTGGGGTCGAGACCAAGGCACTGAGAGGCAGGCCTCCTACCCCTAGGCCCAGCCCTTCTCAGTCCTCATAATGGCCAAGGAGGTGGCAATACACTGATTTCTGTTTTACAGATAGGGAAACTGAGGCCCAGAGAGCACAAACTCGCTATGTGACAAAACCCAAAGTGCAATAGGAAGAGAGTGTTGAATTGGGAGACTGGTTTGGGTCCCACTCCTGCCACTGGTCTTTGTGCAGCTTTGGACAAGTCCCTGCCCTGCACTGAGGTGGGATCTGGGGCGGGGTTGGACTGAGACCCAGGGTTCCCTCCGGCCCTGGTACTTGGTGGTTCTGTGAACAGCAGCATCAGCACAGGGCCTGGCACAGAGCAGGTGCCCAGTAACGATGGCGCAAGGACAGCTGAGCCAGTGGCCTGTGTGGGCCACCCTGTTCCATACACAGTACGTGCCTTAATGAATCAATCCTCACTCAGTTTTTCAATCTTATGTACCACCGAGCACATAAGATGTGCCATGGAGTCGCTGCTGGGTGTTAGGGAGGCAGGACCCGCTCAGTAGCATTGACCAGAACAGACCAAGCAGCCAGCAGGCGAGAGTTCCATTAACGGGGGCCCCTGGCTCAAGCCGTTTCCCTCCCCTGTTGTGGACTGGAGCTACAGAGCAAGGGACTGGGAGCGTCGCAGGCTGGGGGTACCTGAGAATTTGTAGGCTTCATAAAACCTGGAGAAGAGTAAGGGCCACTTAAAGCGGGCATAATTGACCACATCCTCTTTGACCTTCTGGGCATCGGTTCTCCTCTGGGCATAAATCCCCTGGAGGGAAAAAAGGGACAGAGGGACACAAGACAATGTACAGGTGAGTTTGCTCTAAAAATCAGCTGCTGCTGCCTTCTAGCTAGGAGCAGCCTGGGGCTCCTGCACCTCCTGTGCATCATGGCCTTGCCCTGCTCCCATCTGTCTGCAGCCACCCTGTCCCCACCCTTCTCATTCATCAACATCGGCGAGCACTTTCGAGTGCCACCTCTATGCAGGTGCTGCGGCCCAAAGTCAGAGAACTCCAGGGAGTTCCCAGTTGAGCAGAGACAGGGAAGCAAGGATTCCAGCCAGAGCATGTGGGAGGCCCAAGGTCCCGGGTCAGTGTAGACTGCAGACTGCAGACTGGGAAGAGAGGGAATGGGGACACAGCGTGGGGAGTCAGGTCCTGGCGGACTGTGAGTGCAGCCACCACTGCAAGAAACTGATCTGGTGAATCTGGGAGTTAGAAAGATCAGTGTGTCAAGGGAGAACTGGACCCTGGAGGTGCGGTGATCTGTGGGGGGTGCTGCTGTGCTCTTGGTAAGATACAAAAGCACCAGCATTGTGTTTCTCTAAAAATACTTCCCCAAGCGCTAGTGAGAACTCTGGGGTTCTGGGGTAGCACTGGAGGGGTCAGAGTGAAATCCTGGTTTTTATAGTATGTAGACACAGGACTAGGTAAGAGTGGATGTGTATGCCAGCTCACAGACAGCCCCATCTCCACCCATGAGAGGTGCCATCCTGAGAGCAGTGAGAATTCAGAGGCAAATGGCTCAATGTCATCAACCCAAGCTCAAATGACTCAGAGAAAATACATATGTAGGCAGAGAGACAAATCACTGAGCAAGTGTGGCTAGCATCCAGTGAATCTGGGAAGTGAAGTGCACACAGCAGTCCTACTTTTTTGAATGTGCAATTTCTCCATAAGTTTGAAATGATTTCAAAATAAGATGTTTTCAAAACACCTCTGTTATGGACCGAATTGTGTGCTTCCTTCCCCCACCCACCATATTTGCATATTACAGTCTTCACCCCCAGAATGTAACCTTATTTGGAGATAAGATTTTTTTTTTTTTGAGAAGGAGTCTTGCTCTTGTCCCCCAGGCTGGAGCACAATGGCACAATCTCAGCTCACTGAAACCTCTGCCTCCAAGGTTTAAGTGATTCTCCTGCGTCAGCCTCCCGAGTAGCTAGGATTACAGGCACCCACTACCACACCTGGTGAATTTTTGCATTTTTAGTAGAGACGGGGTTTTGCCATGTTGGCCAGGCTGGTCTCGAACTCCTGACCTCATGATTCACCCGCCTTGGCCTCCCAAAGTGCTGGGATTACAGGTGTGAGCCACAGCGCCTGGCCCAGAGATAAGGTCTTTAAAGAGGTTACTAATGAGATCTTTTGGGCGGGCTGTAATCCAATATGTCTGGTGCCTTTTTAAGAGGAGGATATTTGGACTCGGATGTGCATTGCACACGTCACCGTGTGGTGACAGATGGAGAGGATGGCCATCTGCAGGCTAAGAGGAGAAGCCTCAGGAGAAAGCCCCTGCTGACACCTTGATCTCGGAGCTCCAGGCTCCAGAACTGGAAGGAAATACATTTATTTCTGCTGTTGAAACCACCTAGTCTGTGGCACTTTGTTATGGCAGACCTAGAAAATGAACAATGCACCCTCCCACCCTACAAAAACTGTGATTCACAACTGTCCATTCTAGGAGGGGCCTGGCCCAGGGCTCCAGGTCAGATACTCTGAGGAGCTTCAGTCCACGAGAGACCCAGCTTAGCTGTGGGCTCCAAAGGGCAGAAACCATGTCTGTCCCACAAAGGGTTGTGTCTCCAGGTCCTGGTGCCCAGCACATGACAAGCACCCAAAATAAAATGAATGTATAATAATAGCACCCCACCCAGGACGTACCACATGCCACAGTGGCAGTGAGCCCCGAGGAGGCCCTCACGGAGGTGGGGGTGGAGGCTGCAGCTGTTTGGAAGGCAGCTGGACAGGCTAGAGTGACTGCTGGCACGTGAGGGCCAAGGGAGAGGAGGTGCCTGAGGATGAAGGGCAGGGGTCTCACATGAAGGACAGAGGGGTGGCAGGGAGGAGACGCTCCTCCTCTGAAGTGGGGTTCCAGGGGGTGAGGGCCTCAGGGGAAGCAGGCTGGCGCAAGGGGCACTCGGGACTCAGGGAGAGGCAGAGGCTGGTGGGGAGCTGACTAGAGAAGGCACACGGTCAGGTGGAGGCGGCACAGGGCTCCCGGGTGAGGACGGAGGCCGCGAGGTGGAGGGGTGAGATCGCGGGCCTGTGGCGCCCTCAGACTATGGAGACCTCGACTTATGTGCAGGGACAATTCTCTTGCACAGCTAGACCATGGAGATGAGGAGGCCCTAGGTCCCCTACCAGCAGCCAGTGCTCCCACCTTCTCCTCATCTGGATACCCCTGCTCTACTTGGGCAGGCTCTTAGCTTGGGAGGGAACCACTCATGGCTGGTTATGGGCCTGGGCTCCAAGCAAGCGGGTCAAGGGGGCCTGTCCCTAAAGCTCCCCAGGCAGGAAGTTGGGCTGGAGTTCTTTTAGGAAAAAGGAGGTACAATTCCTAAATCTCTGTCTAGCGTCCACCACCTCTCCTAAGCTGCAGCTCTGGAAGCTGTAGCACCAACAAGTGGCTGGCACAAGACCAGGAAAGGGGCCCTAATACCCATGGCCCCACAGAGGCTGCAGGGTTAAGTCTGATCCCCTCTGTGTGCCTGGCACACAGATGGCAGGAGAATGAGTGAGCTGATGTCCAGTGAGGAAGGGCCACTGGGAGGTGGGAGGTCAGGTGCCATGCCATCTCCCGCAGCCCCAACAGACAGGTTCAGACGAGGACTGGGACCTCCTTGGTTGTTCAGGTCCACATCCCTTCTCTAAGACTCCTCCCAGCCCTTCACCTTCTTGTGGGCGGCAATGGCCAACTGGGCCCACTTCTCCAGCGTCTTCAGGGGCGTGATCTCGCGGTCGGGGATGTAGGTGGGTACGAGGTTCAGGAGGCGCTCCAGGATCATCTCAGAGCCATAGTCCACAAAGTACTGCTGGGAGGCCAGCTCCGCCAGGTCGTCCTCCTAGGTGGGGGGAGGCCTAGGTCATGCATTGGCCCAGGCCCCTCCAGGAAGCCCTTCCACACCACCAAAGGCTCCAGGCCCCTCTCCTGGCCCTGACTCCTGTGGCTCTCAGAGCCTGGCTTTTGGGACCCAGGCTTCTCACTGATTCACCAGGGAATTCTTGTCTGCTCAGAGGAACCATGAGCTCCCCAAGGGCAGGGCCACACCCTCACCTTCTCCTGGGTCCCTTTCGCACTGGCATGGAGCTGGACTCTGCCCAGGGGCACAAAAAGTGATGCAAAGAAAAAAGCCAGCCCATCGAGCAGCCACTGCACACTCAGCCCTGTGAGACAGTGACCGGAGCTGACAAACAGCAGAAGAGGAAGCATCTGCCCTAGAGAATGGGAGACACCTGGGGTCTGCTGGAGGGGTCGAAGTGAGGGGAGTGCATCACTGTGACTGCCTCCATCACCATCGTTAAGCACTTGGGGGATGGTTAAAGTGGTTAACAGCTGGCAGGATCTACTGTAGAGGGTTCAGAGAACCAAGTGGCCATTGGACATTTGCCCCTTCTCTGCCTGGCCTGGTGCACAGCAGCCCCAGTGATGCCTACCTAGGGCTCTCCAGAGCTCCAGCAGCAAGGGCATAGAGAAAGGCTTTTGGGGGCCTTGAAGGCAATAGATATTTTCCAACCAGTTTGAAATATTTCAGAACTTTAGCAACTGATGTGGCTATACTAATGCGCTCTGCCTGAATATTTGCTTACCACCACCAATACCACCATTATCATCACCACTGTCACCAACAAAACTACCACCACTACCTCCACCATCACCACCATGACTACCAACAACACTATCATGACTACCAACAACACTATCACCAACATCATTACTGCCTCCACCATCACCACCACCAACAATAACACTATCACCAACACCCGCCACTGCCTCCACCATCACCACCACCACCAAGAACAACACCATCACCAACACTATCACCAACATCATTACTGGCCTCCACCATCACCACCACCATCACTACCAACACTGTCATCACCAACACCATCACTACCAACAACACTGTCATCACCACCATCACTACCAACAACACTGTCATTGTCAACACCATCACTACCAACAACACTGTCATTGTCAACACCATCACTACCAACAACACTGTCATTGTCACCACCACTTACTACCTTTACCATCACCATCATCACTACCAACACTGTCACCAACACCAGCACTATCACTACCTCCACCACCACCACCATCACCGACATCATCCCTACCTCCAATATCACCACTGTCATCAGCACCAACAATACCATCATCACTAACATCACTACCTCCACCATCACCAACACCATCACTGCCTCCACCCACCATCACTACCATCATCAGTACCAACACCATCACTACATCCACCATCACCACCAACCATTATCACTGTCTCCACCACCACCAACACCATCACTACACCCACCATCACCACTCAACCATCACTGTCTCCACCACCACCATCAACACCATCACTACATCCACCATCACCACCAACCATCATCACTGTCTCCACCACCACCAACACCATCACTACATCCACCATCACCACCAACCATCATCACTGTCTCCACCATGACCATCAACACCATCATTACCTCTACCAATGTTACCACCACCAACCATTCTCTTCATTTCCATCACCTCCTTTCTTATCCCTCCCTCACAATCACCAACAGAACCATAGCTACCATTACCATTATCAAAAACAAAACAACCATATAACTCCTGTCCTCAGAAGGAGAAAAAAGAATACACATTTGCAAATTCTGATCCCAAGGAATGGCTGTCTTTCTCATTTAGAGCAGCACTTACTAGACATACTCAGAACAGTGCAGTAGGTCCTGAGGCACGTCCTCTGTAGCACGCACAGTCACTACAGCAGTGCGGGGGCCTCCTCCACTGGCGAATTCAGGACATGCTCAGAAGCCCTTGCTCCTGACATCTCACCTCACCTCACGAGCCCCCTGAAGTAGGTGGTGTCCATCCAGGAGCCTGGCGAGTGCCCAACTGCGGTCAGGCTCACCTCAGCCTAAGCTAATGATGGCTCACAGAGGAGCACTCAGCCCAAACGTGGAAAACAGGAGGCTGTGAGCCAAGCCAGCCTGGCAGGAGATTCCCTTCCACTCACCTTCTCACACCTGTACTCCCCAAACTTGACTCCTCGCACCACCTGCTGGTAGATAAGGTTGGTGGCCACGTTGTCCTCAGAAGGGCTGTGCCAGGGTGTGAAGACCTCTTTGCGGAAGAAGAGCCTCCAGGGGGCGTTGCGCTCCTGGGCACCCTGCTCCTTGGCATACTGCTCGCACTGGGAGATGGCGTCCATGACATGGTCGCTGCCGCTGCCCAGGGAGGACACCTGCGGGCACAGCGGGGAGGGGAGCAGGCACAGAGTCAGGGAAGGACTATGAGGAGCCTCGACAGTGCCAACAGTCAGTTCAGACAGAAAACCGAGGCCCAGCGAGTGGCAGGGACATGTCCAAGGCCCCCAGGAGGCACACCAGATCCCAGCCTTGGGCTCTGAGCAGCACCCCCACGATTGCCTTCCTAGCCTCAGTTCTGGGCACGGTGATGTGAGAAGTCCCATTTTCTAGTAGAAGTGGGAAACTGAACAGAGTACCTGGAAACACAGGAGCATCCGTGAGAAAAATCCAGGCAAACTGCGTCCAGCAACATGGTACCTCCCCTGGGCTTGTGGGCGGGGGCCCCTCTGCTGAGCATGATGTTGCTGGGGGTGGAGGTAAAATCACCCAAGCCCCAGGTCCCACTCAGCTGAGGAGGCTCTAGCCTTCAAGGCGTGTCTGTGGGCTGTTCACGCCCCAGCTGCTTGAGGGCAAGTGTGAAGGAACTCCTGTTTGCTAAGGAGTTTCTCCATCAGACGCCATAGCAACCTGAGAGGGAATTCCATTCCCATCTGCACACAAGGGCTGCGCAGCCCTCCCATCAGCCTGTGCCATGCTATTCCTTCAGCCCCAGGAGAGGATTCACTGGGCCTGGGGACACAGGACTGAGGACATCCTACTGCTGGGTTTTCCCTTGGGTGCCGAAGAGCTGTGTTTTTTTTCTTTTCTTTTGAGACAGAGTCTCACTCTGTCGCCCAGGCTGGAGTGCAGTGGCATGATCTCAGCTCACCACAACCTCCGCCTCCTGGGTTCAAGCGATTCTCCTGCCTCAGCCTCTTGAGTAGCTGGGATTACAGGTGTGTGCCACCATGTCCCGCTAATTTTTCTTTTTTTTTAGTAAAGACGAGGAGGCTTCACTACATTGGCCAGGCTGGTCTTGAACTCCTAACTTTGTGATCCGACCGCCTCAGCCTCCCAAAGTACTGGGATTACAGGCATGAACAACCGCACCTGGCCGAGTTCTCAGCAGTCCTAAGGAGTCAGGCAGAGCTGATTAGCACCGGCCAGGGGAAACCGAGGTGCTCAAGGGTGAGTAGCCCCAGCCAGTAGGTGGCAGCACTGGCGGCCTGGAGTGGGGCCGGGAGGAGGTGCTTCTGGGCGGCCATACCTTGTCAAACAGGGCAATGTAGAGGGAAAACCCAAAGCGGTCCTTGAGAGAGATTTTGTCGGCCAGCGCGTTGCAGAGCTCCTTGGCCGTGGTTGCTGAGTCTGTCAGCAGGGTCTTGGTGGTCCCATCCATGAATGTCACGGGCAGCATGATTGGCTTCTTGGACTTGGTGGCCTGGAAGTGCCCCAGGAGGGTTTGTGGAGTCCCTTCCCTTCAGACCCACTCGCCCCTCTGGACTTTGGCTCTCTGCTTTCTGTGGGGTTGGAGCTGCCCCGGCGCCCCAGGCCTCAGCACCTCACTGGGACACTGCTTGTCCCCGTCACAGGTGTCTAGGGAGCCCTGCTGTGCACCCCACCCCAGTGGACCTTTAGGACCCCTGAGTCAGGGCCTGGGGCTGGGAGTTCAGGCACTGCCACAGGCCCGGGGTCTCTGCTATCACTTCATATAACCTTCACCATGTGGCAGGTAAAGGCATTGAGACACAGAGGGAATCTCCTTTGCCCAAGTTGTCTTGACCATAAGGCCAGCAAATGGAGTCCCTCATCCTTTGGGGACTTTTCTGTTCGATGGGCCTGGGGTTCCAGAACTTGAGGGTAGGTGCTTGAGGAACCACAGAGTCTCAAAGTGGGGAATGTTTCTGGGGCACTCGAGTGCACTGGACACACACACACGCACTCACACACGCATACACACATGCATACACACACACTCTTGTGCACATGCACACAAGCACGTGCACACACACGCACGAACCTGCAGCTCCAGCCAGCTGGGCGGCTGTGTCCGTGTCCCATTGACAAAGGTCCTCCTCAGACGCTCCTCACAGTATGGGGCGTAGCCGGGCGGGCCCCCGTGGATGAAGTTCCGCAGGTACTGCAGCCAGAGCACGCGCTGAGGTGGCCCCACTGCAGCCCTGGGCCTCCCCATGTGAGTAGTGAGGGCAGCCGCCAGGCCCTCCCCAGCACTTGGAGGCCACTCCTCCAGGCCAGGCTGCTTTCCGTGGCTTCCCTACTCTCTCAGATCCACCGCCTATTTCCAGTCAAGTCTGTGGCCTCCCCGGCCTCCCCCTAGCTCAACCTAGCGGCTCCTCCCCACACCCCTTCACAGCACCAGCCAGTCGGGTTGGTCCTGCCATGACCTGCTCCACTCTGACCCCAGCGCCCAGGGCCTGCCCCAAGGCGAGGGTGCAGAGGGCCTGGGACACGCTCCTGTCAGACTCAGCCCCTCCTAAGTAGAATGGGGCTGAGGGGAGTGTGGGGCAAAGCGGTGGCTGCCTGAGGGGAGGAGGTGCCAGGAAGATGGGGCTCAGTGGGGGGTGGCCAGGTGGGCCTTGTGGCCAGGCCCTTTGGAGTCCCTGACTATTGCTCTCCCCGCAGTGCTGGGACAGGGCCCAGCTCCCCTTCCCGCTCCAGGAGGCCAGGCACCTTCCTACCTTGACAAACTTCTCAGAGGGGGCGAAACAGCCCACGCAGAGAGACACGAGAATCCAGCCCCGGGCATAGCTACTCTTGGAGGGGTTGTGGGTCAGCTGCTTGCTGATCTGGCAGTAGATCTCATCCCTGGGCAGGCAGCAGGGCAAGGGAGGGGGAATCACCCAGAGGAACAGCCCCGGTCCCCACCTCCTCCCAGCAGCCGGTGGGACATGACACAGCTGTCCTCTCCAACTTGCCAAGACCACCCAGGAGGAGGCAGAGTGAGGCTGGGTGGCAGGGCTGAGCCAAGGGCTGGGGTCTGGCTTTGGAGACAGGATCATCAGGCATAAAGCACCTCCCCAACACCAATCCAGTTCCCACAGCCAGGGCCCCACCCTCCAGGGTGGTGCGTATACTGCTCTGGGCTCAGCAGCCACAGCCACAGGTGACCATGCTAATGAGAAGCACAGTCCCCACCTCTGCCTCGTTCCTAACCAGCTGGTAATTGAGGCAGATGAGTTCGCTTCTCTGATCCCAGCCCATAGTCACGGCAGCAGGTGCAACTTCTACCCCTGGCAACGGACAAAGCAGAAACAGGAAAAGCGTCCTGGGGGATGGAATGAGTAGGGACTTTGTCTCTGGTATGTTTCTGTAATGTTTGAATATTTAAGGGGCCATGTATGACTTTTGTAATGGGATGAAAACAATTAAGGTAATTTTTTGGTGTTCATTTTAAAGGAATCCTTACAAGATTGCTGTGAAGACAAATGAGCCAAGGCTTATGATGCACCTAGCACAGTGCCAGACACAGTGAACCCCTCACAAATGCCAGCTGCAATTATTGCTGTCCTTGTTCTTGGGAATGGTTCTTCTCCTCTGCAACCTGGGTGCTCTAAGACTGCAGCCTGCCTGTTCAAGGGCAGAACCCCTGACGATGCAGTGACCGCCAGGGGGCACCCACTGCCGCTCTTCTCTCCCAAAGGACAGGGCTGGGATTACCTAATTCAGTGGCTCAACAGTTTTGAGAGTTTATAATTTCAAAGTAAATTCTGAAGTTACTCATTTTTTTATCATGATAAATGAGAACATTTATAACACACACAACCTGCTCACTGTCTAGATCCCAATTATCTCATAAAACAAAGGTAATTTTAAATTTCCAAATAGTAGGAAGGGCAAAGTCTCAGAGCAGTCCTTTAAAGAAAACAAGTTTTGCTTTAGAAACATCCCTCCTGTTCCCACCTTGCCACAGACTAGTGAAACATTATCACCTGCAGCTAGGAGTCTCCGTTCACTTTACAGATGGGGAGACAGAGCCTGAGAATAGGGAGGGATTCACCGTGTGAGGCCCCTCAAGGAGTTGACACCCCAGCCTTTGGACTCTTGGTTCAGAGCTCCTGGCACTGTGTTTTCTAGAAGTGTCAGCTTTAGGTATGATGGTGAGATAATTTGGAGGCAAATTCTTGCCCCTGAGACACACCTGCAGCAGCTGCTTTTCCTCCTGTTGGCAGGTGGCCCTGGGCAGTGTGGCCACCCCAGTGAGGTAGTGACTAGGCTTGGGGAGATAAAAACAGGGGCCTGATAGGAGGCAGGAGGCCTAGTGACCCCTGGGCAAGTCTCTTCCCTACTCTGGACCTCAGTTTCCCATGAGGAAAGTGGGGCTTGGTCCCTGCCTCGTCCTGCTGTCCTCCCAACCAGCACACACACATTCATGGCATCAGCTCTCCCGACAGACCTGTCCTGTGCAGAGACTGTTCTCAGAAAAGTCCTAGCCCTCCTCTCATCAGCTGACTTGATTTTTTTGGTGGCTCCTGGTAACTCCTGGGTCTTCCTTTCAACTCCCCAAAACCCCAGGGACCTGGGTAAAGGCCTCTCCTGGCCCTGTGGGGAAGGAGGTACTTGCAGGATGCCCAGGCATGTGGCCCACAGTAACCCTGACCATGGGCCTGGGGTGGGTGACTCGAGGTGAGCTGGCAGCAGGGGGGTTAAAGCAGGAAATGCATGTTGGATGATGATGATCAAAGCTACCATCTACCGGGCACTTACTATGCTCCAGGTCTGGTGCTACACATTTTTCATAGCTTTATCTTCCCACAAGCCTGTGTATGAGGTAGCTGCTGCAGGCACACCTCATTTTACTGTGCTTCACTCTATTACACTTCACAGACGTTGCATTTTTTACAAACTGGTTTACAAGGACCCTGCATGGAGCAAGTCTACCAGCACCATTTCTCCAACAGCACGTGCTCACTTCGCGTTTCTGTCACATTTTGGCAATTCTAGAAATATCTCAAACTTTATTATTATATTTGCTGTGGTGATCGGTGATCAGTACTCTTTAATGTTACTAATGTAGTTGTTTTGTGCACCATGAATCGTGCCCATAGAAGATGGCAAACCTAATTGATAAATGTTAGATGTGTTCTGACTGCTCTACCCACCAGCCATTCCCCCATCTCTCCCTCTCCTCAGGCCTCCTGATTCCCTGAGACACATTCATATTGAAATTAGGCCAATTAACAACCCCATGTTGACCTGTAAGTGTTCAAGTGAAAGGAAGCTCACACATTTTTCACTTTTAATCAAAAGCTAGAAATGATTAGAGAGGAAAGCATGTTGAAAGCCGAGATAGACCAAAAGCTGGGCCTCTTGTGCCACGTAGTTAACCAACTTGTGAATGCCAAGGAATAGTTCCTAAAGGACATCAGAAATGCTACTCCAGTGAATACACAAATGATAGGAAAGTGTAACAGCCTTATTTGCTGATATGGAGAAAATTTTAGGGGTCTGAATAAATCAAACCAGCCACAACATTCCCTTAAGCCAAAGCCTAATCTAGAGGAAGACTCTCTCTTCAATTCTCTGAAGGCTGAGAGAGGTGAGGAAGTTGCAGAAGCTAAGTTGGAAGCTCACAGAGATCACCTCATGAGGTTTAAAGCAAGAAGCTGTCTCCAAAATGTAGAAGTGCAGGGTGAAGCAACAAGTGCTGATGGAGAAGCTGCAACAAGTTTTCCAGAAGGTCTAGCTAAAATCACTGAAGAAGGTGATTACACTCAACAACAGATCTTCCATGGAGATGTACCAGCCTTCTATCAGAAAAAGATGTCATTTAGGACTTTCATAGCTAGAGAGAAATCAATGGCTGGCTTCAAGGCTTCAAAAGACAAGCTGAATCTCCTGTCAGGAGCTAATGCACTGCTAACTTTCCATTGAAGCCAATGCTCAGTGACCATTCCAAAAATCCTAGGGCCCTTAAAAATGATGTACAAGGGGCTGGGCACAGGGGCTCACGCCTGAAATCCCAGCACTTTGGGAGGCTGAGGCGGGTGGATCACAGGGTCAGGAGTTCCAGACCAGCCTGGCCAACACGGTGAAACCTCGTCTCTACTAAAAATACAAAAATCAGCCAGATGTGGTGGCAAGTGCCTGTAGTCCCAGCTACTTGGGAGGCTGAGGCAGAAGAATTGCTTGAACCCAGGAGGTGGAGGTTGCAGTGAGCCTAGATCACGCCACTGCACTCCAGCCTGGGCAACAGAGTGAGATTGTCTCTAAATAAAACAAAAACAAACAAACAAACAAAAAGAATGATGTACAAGAAGATGAACGTTATTTTCACGCCTGCTAATGCAACATCCATTCTGCAACCTATGGATCAATGAGTAATTTTGGCTTTCAAGTCTTATTTAAGAAATACATTTGATAAGACTATTGCTGCCATAGATAGTGATTCCTCTGGTGGATCTGGGCAAAATCAATGAAAAAGCTTCTGGAAAGTAATCACTATTCTCGATGCCATTCAGAGCATTCATGATGCATGGAAGGAGGTCAAATTATTAACATAATAGGAGTTTAGAAGAAGTGGATTCCAACCTTCATGAATGACTGAGGGGCTCAAGACTTCAAGAGGAAGTAACTGCAGATGTGGTGGAAATAAATAGCAAGAAAACTAGAATGAGAAGTGGGGCCTGAGGATGGGACTGAGTTGCTGCCATGTCATGATCAAATTTCAGTGGATGAGGAGTTGCCTCTTATGGATGAGCAAAGAAAGTGGTTTCTTGAGATGGAATCTACTGGTGAAGATGCTGTGAACATTGTTGAAATGATAACAAGGGATTTAGAATATTGCATCAACTTGATAAAGCAGCAACAGGGTTTGAGAGGACTGACTCCAATTTTGAAAGAAGTTCTACTGTGGGTAAAATGCTGTCAAACAACATTGCATGCTACAGAGAAATTTTGTGTGAAAGAACAGTCCATTCATGCAGCAAATCTCACTGTTGTCTTATCTTAATAAATTGCCACAGCCATCCTAACCTTCAGCAACCACCACTCTGATCAGTCAGCAGCCATCAACATCAAGGCAAGACCCTCCAGCAAATAGATGCAACTTTCAGATGACCATTAGCATTTTCGGCATTATTTTCTAATCAAGGTGTCTACATTTTTTAGACATAATGCTATTTCATACTTCATAGACTATAGTACAGTATAAATATGACCTTTATATGCACTGGGAAGCCAAAATATGTGTGCTGCTCTCTTTATCGTGATATTTATTTCTGTGGCCTTCAACTGAACCTGCAGTATCTCCAAGGGATGCCTGTTTTATGATTCCCCCTTTACAGACAAGGAATCAGAGGCTTAGAGAGATGAAATAACTCCACCAAGGTCCTAACTCCACCAATTAGCTCCCAGCAAAGCCAAACCCAGGCCTGCTTTCTTCATCTCTTGCTAAGTTGACAGAGGCACCACTCAGCCATCAAAAGACTTTCAGGCCCCGGTGCCCCGCCTCCCGGCACTGACCGGAGAGCTGGCCGCAGGATGCCATTGCCGATGATGAAGTGCAGCTTCTCCAGGTTGGAGGTGGGCCGGTCCTCCAGCATGCTGTTGCCCTGGACCGTGGACTCCCCGTCATGCAGCCTCTTGGTGACCTGGGCCAGAGGGAGAGGACAGGGAAGGTGAAGTCAGGGGCATTCCCCTGCCAGCCAGGGCACCAGCACCCGAAGCTGCCTGCTCCCCAGAAAACAGAATCTAAGGAGTGAGCAGAAGAACTGCGCTCCCCAGCACTGTCATTACCCCTGCCACGTGCACAGCAGATGCTGGGCCAATAACTGGCCCACATAGCTGGGGCACACCGGCCCAGTGCCACCCACTTCTGGGGACAGAGCTCCTCTGCCGTCTCCTCGATACCCTGCACCCCACCCCCCACCCCAGGGAGGTCCTCTCAGCCAGGACAGGGACCTGCTTCTGACTCCAAGCGGGACCCCTATCTCTCTGGGGTGGCCCCCCCATAACTGTGGGTTCTGGAGTATACCCCAGGTTCCAACCACCAGTCACCATCACCCTGTCACCAACACCCTTAGCCCCAAAGTGACCAGGCTCACACTGGTTCTTATGAGATGTTTCTCCTCTCTCATCCCACACAGCCCACAGCACAAGCCCCGAGCTCTGCCCAGAGGAGGTAGGGTGAGTGAGAGGTGAGCGGCAGGAGTGGATGGTACAGACAGGGAGCACCATGGAAGGCCCTCGTGTCTACCGAACACCCTCGGCTGCCATTTCCACCTTCTTCCCAGGACCCCACGGAGTGGGCGTTTCCTTCCTTGGGTCCCTTGAATATTAAGCGGCAGAGAAGGTATTCAAATCTGAGGCCACACACGTGCAAGGCTGGATTTGTGCCTCAGGTGGGGACAGGACAAGGGCAGAGGTAAAGTGGAAGCCCCTGACCCTGCAGTGGAGGAGCTGGGGAGGCTTCCTGGAGGAGGTGATCCCAGGCAGAGAAAGGAGGAGTTTCAGGCAGAGGGACTGGCATGTGCAAATGTGGGGATGGGGGCCTGGCCCCCAAGGCTGTGAATGCCTTGGTTTGTGTCTGCCTCTCCAATGCATCCTCCCCTGCCACACACACACCAGCCTGGACAACCCCAGAGCACAAGGGCTGGGAGAGTGCCCAGAAAAGGCAAGGTGACTGAAGAATGAATTCAAATAAATTAATCCCGTTCATGCTCCATGAGCACTCTTGTTCCACAGAAAGCTCCCACGCCTCAAAGGTCCTTGGACCAAGTGCCTCGGGTCTGCACCCTGGCTGGAAGTGTGTTCCCTCTCACCTGTGCTGCTACCAGCCTCCCCTGCTCAGTGCCCTCTGCCAGGAAGCCCTTCCCCACCCCAGCCTAAGATCCCACTCTCTTCAGACAGTCCTGTCTGCCTGATCGCCCACCAACCCACCCATGCTGTCCTGTCCCTGGCCAGCCAAGACCCCTGAGGACAGACAGTGTCCACTCCTGAGACTGTTCTCAGAAAAGTCCTAGCCCTCCTCTCATCAGCTGACTTGATTTTTTTGGTGGCTCCTGGTAACTCCTGGGTCTTCCTTTCAACTCCCCAAAACCCCAGGGACCTGGGTAAAGGCCTCTCCTGGCCCTGTGGGGAAGGAGGTACTTGCAGGATGCCCAGGCATGTGGCCCACAGTAACCCTGACCATGGGCCTGCTCCCATGGGCCCCCAGCTTAGCTGTGCTCCAGCCTAGGCCACCTAAGGCAGCCACCCATGGGCTGCCAGACCCCCAGTGTCTGCCCTCACCTCCTCTGTGAGCTTGGACTTCTTTTTCAGAGTCAAATGCACCAGCTTGTGTCTCACACTGCTCCTCTTCTGGCCCTCAGGGAGCTGGGCCTGCAGGACCAGCAGGGATCAGGGTCAAGAGGCTGAGCAGAAAGCAATGACGAGACCCCCAACAGCAAGACTTTGTGGGGAACCATCTCGCTTCCACGTGAGGCTTACAGGGTGCCCCCCACACTGGCACCCTCTACCTGCCCACTTTACCCTTGCACCCCCACCAGCCAACTGGCAGTCAGGAAAACTGAGACTCAGAAAAACACAGTATGGGAGCTGGCTCCAACTGCAAAGCCCCCGTCTGCTCTGCTGTGAGGCCCCTCAGTTACGGTCAGCACTTCACAGTTTGTAAAAGTTTCACACATTTGTTCCCACAAGTAGACAAAGGAGGGTGGCAGGCAGGGGTTGGTGAGGCAGAGATGAATTATAGGATCCTTTTTCTGTGGAGGAGCCCAAGGCTGGCGATGCCAGCAACCCTCCCTGTAGGCCTGTGAGGGACATCAGCCAGAGGGCACCTTGGCCTCACCTCACCCTCGCCCTGCAGGGCCTGCAGCTCCCTCTTGTATGTCTTCTTGCCCAGGGTCTCGTAAATCTTGGTCATCACAGGGATCTTCTCGCTGCCGTCACTCATGGCTGTGTGGTACTTGGGCTCCGGGAGGTCCCCCATGAAGCGGAGGATGGTGATCCAGACCGCCAGGGCTGCCTGGGGCAGAGCGCGCATGTCAGAGGCCAGAGCAGAGGACATTGCTAAAGCTGTCAGAATGACTTGGTGGTTTGGGGAGAGGGCTGGAGACACCCCCTCCTGCATGGTGAACCCTTAGGCTGGGTGCCACAGTGAAGACTCTAGTCAGACCTGGTCCCTGGCCCCCAGGGACCCACCACCCTCATCACCTATGGCCACCAGCAGCAGCAGAGTCCACAGCACCAGCCCTGGCCCCACCCAGCAGTGACCTAGTGGCAGGCAGGCCTCACCAGCTGGTCACCCTCGTCGTCATGGTAGAGCAGTGGCTGTTTGAGTGGCCGCCGGGTGTAGGAGTGCGTGGTTGTCCCCTGGAAGTAGGTGGCAGCAAACTTGGCAAATTTATACTCAGAGAGGTCCTCCTCATCCTCGTCAGGCAGGGGCAGGGCTGCATCCAGGTCCTCCTCCACCATCTCCCTCCGCCCTCGCTCCAGGTCCTGAAGGAGACAAGAGGTATGTCCTGGAGTCCCAGCTACTCGGGAAGCTCAGGCAGGAGGATCACCTGAGCCCAGAAGTTCAAGTCTGCAGTGAGCTATGATCACACTACTGCACTCCAGCCTGAGCAACAGGGTGAGACCCCATCTCAAAAAAAAAGAAAAAAAAAAACCTGAGAACGGCCTTGGAGAGGGACAGGACCCAGTTCATCCCTGCTACCCACTGCTCAGAGGGGCTGGGCGGGCTTTAAGGCCAAGGGCACAGGAGGAGGGAGGATCAGCCCAAGTGGTGTGGGGGCCTCTGGAGCCCCTGTCCCCAGCCTGGTACCTCAAAGCCACTAGGTGCCTGGCCCTCCTGGCCTGGCAGGCCACCTGAAGTCCCCAGGAAGCCAAACATCTTGTCCACCATGTCTGAGTGATTGACGGGCTCGTGGCGGGCCCTTTCCATCTGCTCTAGGAGCTCCTTCTTCCGCCGAGCAGCCTCCTTCTCCTTCAGCTCCCGCTCGGCGTCCTCACGAGCCAGCTGGGCCAGGCGCTCCTGGGCAATTGGGGTGACACAGAAGACACAGGGTCAGCCCCGGTGCCACAGCCTCAGGGAACAAGCTCTCCCTGGGAAGCCCCTGCAGCAGCCAGGGCCTCGGTCCCCACCTCATGACCGCCGGGGACAAAGGAGCCTCCGACTTCCCCACCTCTGGGCCACTCAGAGGCCTCTCAACAGGCCAAACAGCAATCTGCCCATCCTTCAGGGCTCTCAGGGAGCCACCTCCTCCAGCAGCCTGCTCCATGGGGACCACACGAACCCAGACACCCCACGGCCATTGGCTTGAGTCTCTAGACCAGTGCCGCCCAACAGAAATACAATGTGAGCCACCCATGTGGTAGCCATGTTTTAAAAAGCAAAAAGGAATAGGTGGGATTAGTCGTAGCAATATATTTTATTTAACTCAATATTTCCCAAATATTATCTTAGCATATAATCCATATTACAAAAATAATACTGAGATATTTTATATTCATTTTTTCCCCACCAAGTCTTCAAAATCTAGTGTGTACTTCACAATTACAGCACTGTGTCATTTGGATGGACCACACTGCAAGTGTTCAGTTGCCACTGTGGCTGGTGACTCTCTACCGGGGAGCAGGGCACCCTCGTGCCGTCAGCTGACTTGGGCTTTTATCAGGGTGTTCTCTCCCAGCTAGAAAGGGGCTGCTGAGGGCCTGGGTCTCTTCCTCTGGAGCCACCACAGCCCTCGGTCCTTTTGCATGGCACAGGACCAGGTGCCCAGTGAGAGCTCAGGCAACGCTGGCCGAGTGGGTCTAGTGCAGCCACTCTGAAGGGTGGAAGGAAGGCTGCGGTGCCGGGTGACATGAGCAGCCAGCCTCGGGTGACATGAGCAGCCAGACGAGGCGCCTGGAGGCTCTCGGCTCACCTGATGCTTGCGCTCCGCCTCCTCCTTGGCCTTCTTGGCACTCATCTCCTTCCGGAGCTTCTCTTCCTCTGCCAGCCGCATTTTCTCAGCCTCGAGGCGCCACAGGTACTGAGGGAAGGGGGCATCCAGGGGGCATGGAAATGTGTGTAGCTGTTGTTGCAGGGATTCCTGCCAGCTCTACCCACCCGACTCTGAGTTCTAGAACTGGGCATGACTTTGCCAAATAATTTGGCAGATAGGACAAGTGAGGTAACCAAGAAATTCTCTAGGTTACCCAGCGGGTTGGAGGCACCACTGATCCTAAAGCCCGGCCAGATCTGCCTTGGTCTCTCAGAGATTCCCAAGAGTGACTGAGGTCCCAGCCCTGCCCTTGGCCAGGAGGATGGAAATGAGGGTATGGTCCCAGGTTTGTGCACTCCTCAGAGCAGGCATAACCACAGGTCCACCCCATAGGTCCCGCTTCCTGGCCAACACCTGAGGGTGATGTGTGGACACTCCCCACCCAGGGGTCAGAGGTCTGCTGATTGCTGCTACGGACTTGCTCCCTCACCTCAGCCCTGAGGCGTTGGTGCAGCCTGCGGGCGATCATGCCCCGGGCATAGGCCTGCACGGTAAGCACAGCCCAGAGGCGGTGGCGGAAGGCCTTGCGCACCAGATAAGCGCGGCAGCGGGCCTGGAACTGGATGATGCGCTGGCGGGCCAGGCGGTACTGCTGGTGCAGCTTCCGGGAGCGGTGTAGAGCCTGCAGCCGCAGGAAGCCGAGACGCATCTGCAAGGACAGCCACCCCGTGCTCAGAGCCTGCTGTCCCATTCTAGACTGACCCTGCCTGCAGAAGCTTCCACGGCACCGGCCTCCACTCTCAGACAGGCACCCCCAGAAGGCATGGCCCCGTCTCCTCTCAGATTAGGGCCCCCCCCATCGTTAGAAAGTTCTGTTTCCTCTCAGACAACATATTTTTAGGTGACCTTGACTCTCCCTGAGTTGGGCCCCCCTGAGAGAATCCTAGATCAGGAGCTGCAACCAACCAGTCTGCTTCCCATCCAGCTCCGACAAGCCCTAAGCCCAGCTGCTGCACAAGGTCCATGTGACCCAGCCACTCCCAGCCCCATCTGAGATCTCTCATAATCCCAGAGTGCTCCCAACACCCAAAAACACTCCAGAAGGAGAACAATACACATTGCTGGCCAGTTGGAAGAAGCCACAAGAGCCAGATCCAGACTTCGGGCTGGAGGAATGGTAGCGGCTGGCTGGGGCAGTGGCAGGAGGCCAACGAGGTCAGGCTGTGCTGCCTGGGTGCAGGCCAGTCCCGCTGCCATGGCAGCAAGGCTGGGTTCAAAGGCCTGTTGGGGCAAGAGAAGCCCATGGGGAGGCTCACCAGCCCGTAGTTCTTCCTGCAGTTGTGACCCCGCCAGTGCCTCTGGATCAGCGTGGCAGCGTTCTTCAGCTTCAGGAAGTTAGACCTGAAACAGCGGGAGTGGCGCGGGTAAGCAGTGTCCAGAGGCAGCCAGGGCACAGGTGGGTTTGGGATCAGGAGGGCATGCTGAGTCCTGGCTCTGCGACTTCCTAGCTATGTGACCTTGGGCAAGGCACATAACCTCTGTGCCTCAGCTTCCTCATCTGTACAATGCGTAGAATAATGCTTGCCCTGCCTGCCCCACAGGCCTGTCACATAAGCCTATGAAGGTAGACATTCAAAAGGTATTTGTTGAATGAATAAATGTATGAAAAAATAAGTAACTAAAATAATATAAAGATTAAAAGCTTTGAACAGTCTAACTTCCTCATTTTATACATGAGGCAACTGAAACTTGATAGGTTGGGACTAGAGCCTGTGTCTTCTGACTGACCCTAAGTGAGCCCATTGCTGTTCCCCCTGCACACAGCAGGCTGCTTCCGCAGGAAAACAGTCATCTTTGGCCTGATAGAGGACAGAGACCACGCACAGACAGCAGGGGTCTGCTGAATGTAGAAATAAATAAAGGAAGAGTGAAGGATGGGTATGTCAGTGTGCATGTGAGCCAAAAAGTCAATGCTTGGAGACACACATAAGCAAATGAGCAACTGTGGGAATGGGTGGGTGGGTGGATGGATGAATGGATGAGTGAATGGGTGGGTGGGTGGGGGGATGGATGGATGGATGGGTGAATAGGCGGGCGGATGGATGGATGGATGGATGGATGGATGGATGGATGGATGAATAGGTGGGCGGATGGATGGATGGATGGATGAATAGGTGGGCAGATGGATGGATGGATGGATGGGTGAATAGGTGGGCAGATGGATGGATAGATGGATGGATAGATGGGTGAATAGGCGGGCAGATGGATGGATGGATGGATGGATGAATAGGTGGGCGGATGGATGGATGAACGGATGGATGGATGGATGGATAGGTAGGTAGGTGGGTGGGTGAATGGATGGATGAATGGGTAGATGAAGGGAGAGAGTGACCATATGAACTGCAAAGGGGTGTGTTGCAGGATTTTCACAGAACTTTAATCACATTTTGGAGTCAGTCCTGCACATTTGTGAATTGTCACAGGTGTACAGATATCCTTTACATAGAATATGAGACACATTTTGTATTCATAATTTATAAAATCTCAAATTTCCTCTGTGCAAAATTTCATCAGCATCTGAAATGAACAGTGGGTCCACATGTGAGTCTCATGTATCTACATGTGAAAGTGCGTATGTAGGTGAATGTATTGGATTATTTGGCTTACATGGCACAATGGGTCCATGTAAATCATGTATCTATATTCCTCTGTGTTTACATGATCATGTGTGCATGCTGTGCATGTGTGCACTTGTTTCATAGGTGAACATGTTTTTTTCCTAGTGTTCATGCGGGCAGAGCAGAGGAGAGCCAAACACCACACGTACACCTGTATGTGGGCTGAGGAGGGGAGGAGCTGGTGGGAACACGCACCTGTCTTTGAACCCCCGGATGACCTTCTGGAGGAGGATGACTCTGTCAGTGATGGCTTTGTCCCGCTCCACTTCCAGCAGCATGTCATGGTGGTCCTAGGAGGCAGAGCTCCTGAGCAGCACCCCACGAGGTCTCTAGAGCCACCTGCTCAGTCCCAGCTGGGGCCTCTCTTCCTTCACTGGGAGCCCAGGTCTAGAACTCAGTTGGGTCCCATGAGCTCCCAGCTGGCTCTGGCTCCTGGGGCAGCCTCCCACAGCCACCAGGACAGACAGGGGTTGTGGCTGTTTCCCAGAGGCCCAGGCAGGACAAATGGAGCAGAAGGTGCCTAATCTCTCTGGATGGGGTCAGAAGGCCCAGTACGCACACACACCGGCTTCTTCCCTATCATCAATCTGCCCAAGCCCCCTGCTTCTAGACGTCCCTGTCACATCAGTCCCTCACCTGGGCTGGGCTGTTGCCATTCCTCTCCTGAACCTTGGCAGCAGCCTCCTAACCAAAGGTCTCACAGCCTCCCTGGCTCCCTCTCCAGCCCTCCTTCACAAGCAGCCAGAGAGACCCTCCTAAACACAACCCGGATGGTGACCCTACAGTGACACCTCATGGTTCCCCAGGTCGAGCCTGGGTTCCTCACCCTGGCACTCAAGGCCACCCATGATCCAGGGTGTCTGCCAACTTTTCCAGCCCTCTCTCCTCCTCACCCAAGACCCCAACCCTCACTCTAGTTGGACAAAACTTCATTGGTTCACTTAATACATATGAATTGAACGCCTCCATGTGCCGGCACTGTGCTAGGTGCTGGGGAGGGGAGGGGCTGCCACAATGAACCAGGGAGACATGGCCCCTGCCCTTGGGGAGGGTAGAGTCTCATGAGGGAGCCACATCCATCAGATAATCACAGACACACAGGGCCCTGACAGAAGAGATGCTCAGCTAAGGCATTCTGAATGAATGAATGAATGGATGAATGAGCGTGTCTGGCCTCTCAAAACCATGGCCATATCGGAAGAACCTAGAAGTGTAAGTCAGGGGCTGACGGCGCTCCTCCGAGTTCCCTGGCATTAGATGCCATCGTGATTCCTGCCTTCCCCACTTTGTCCACACAGGGGCTTGGCATCAGACCCCCCCAGACTGGAAGCCCTGCTGCCTGCTTCCTAGCTGCCTGGCTTCGGGCAACTCACTTCTCTCTGAGCCTGTGAAACGGGTATAATATTTTCTTCTCCACAGGACTGTTTCAAGGATTAAATTAGCTCATGGATGAAGAGCCCCCACCCAGGGCCTGGCACATGGAATATGCTTTCTGGCTGGCCACTGTGGGAGGCACAGGCAGGGAACATCCATCACACCTTGCTAATGAGGAAATGCAGGTGCAAGGAGAGAAAGGGCCTAGCCTGAAGCCCCTTGGCTGGAGAGGATTTAAAAGAGGCCACAGGCTCCCTCCAGTTCAGAGCTGGTTCCTGTCCCTCCTGCAGCTGTCCTGGAGTGTGCAGGCCCCACCCCCACACCAGAGGAAGGAGCGCTGTCATCCGGGACAGCCAGAAATCTAGCACAGCGGAAATGCAAATGGGGAAGCCCAGCGCTGGGAGCTCGCACTGTCCCTGCTGTGGCTGCCCTGCCACTGCCAGCTCCCAGCCATTTCTCCAAGGCTGTGACTCCGTGACTCCCACAGACCCTGCTTCCTGCTTCCCTCCCCAGCTGCCCAGGCAGCAATGGGAGCTGAGCTCCCTACAGAGTGACGGACAGGTGGAATGCTGCAGACCCCAGCATGGGATGGACCCTGCCAGGCAGGAAACCACAGGAAGGAACCTAAAGACACACTCAAGAGACCCCACACAGGCACACCCCAATTTACAGATGGGAAAATGAGGCTCAGAAAAGGCCCCAAGGCAAGTAGCACCCCCACCTCCCTGCTGTGGGCCTGACAGCCAGCCTGCCCCTGGCATGTACTTTGTAACCTGTGGTCAGTGCGCTGACCCTGCTCCCAGGTGGTAGATGATCTCAAACACCAACCTACCCTTCCCCACCGGAGAGATCAGATCCCACCTGCTCCTCCAGCCACACCACAGCCCGGCAGGAAGGATCTCAAAGCCCCAGCACTGCCTCCCTCTCCCGAGCACCCCAGCCCACATGATGGGAATTCACAGTGCCCCAGGGCAGCCCAGGGAAGCTGTGCTCACCTTCAGAAAGATCTTGGTTTTGCCTATCTGCCAGTCATCGTGCGTGCCCAGCACAGTCTCAGCCATGCGCTGGCACGTCCCGCGAAGGTCACCCTGGAGTGGGGATGGGGGACACAAGGGAATGGGCAGTGTCTCCAGTGGGAAGGCCCCCGGAGTGTCCCTGAGGCTGGGAGGCAGGGCTCTTCTCCAGCTCTGCCCCTGACTCAAAGTGTGACCTCAGCTGGGTCCTGCCTTCTCTGAGCCCCAGTTTTCTCCTTAGCTCAGCTGGATGGTATGATTGCAAAACCCTTTCTCACAACTGACATCCAGGGCCTGCGTGGCAGCCCTGGTCTTGTTCCTTACACCACCATGTGTGAAGTCCTCACTAGGTGAACATGGCAACTGAAGCCCACTGATGCATTCCAAGACCTGACCCCCAATTTTCCATGCTGTACCTGAGAGGTCGAGCAGATGTCAAGCCCCGCTCACAGTCCTGATAAGAAAATTGGGATCCTTGCCCAGCCAAAGCTGGGACCCTCCTCTCCTGCCTTCTGTGCACTCAGCCCTGTACCTGCTTGTAGGCTGGCTTCACACCCGGCAGCAGCACGCGGTACCGCTCCACAAACTCCACGAAGCTGTAGCGGATGGGGTAGCCAGCTCGGCGGATTCGGATGGTCTCCATCATCCCTGAGTACCGCAGCTGGCGCACACACAAGTGCCGGTCAAACAGCTGCCGGGCAGACAGACAAGGGCATCAGGGCCAAGGCTCCTGCTGGGAGGCAGCCCTGCTATGCACTTGACCAACCCAGACAAAGGCTCAGAAAGGCCAAGTCCACATGGCACGGGAGGAGCAAAGCTGGGACAGGCACCTGGATCTGCAGCTCAAATCCACAAAATAGCATAAAGTGAGGCCTGTCGTGGCGGAGTTGTGTGCTTTGGAAGCACACAGAAGACACAGATTAATTCCTCTTGGGACACCCAACAGGCAAGCTTCATGGAGGAGGCGTCTTTATCCCCCTAACGCTGACAGGAGGGGGAGTATTCCAAGGCTGGAGGGGGTAAGCCTGTGCAAAGCTGTGGAAGCCTGAAAGCGCAGGACTTCGTTGGGAATCTTGGGGGAGCTAGAGAGGCTGGTCCTGGCCAAGTTATGGCTGTGCAGGTGAGGGGTGCTCTGCACAACCCCAGGGAGGATCTTTCACACTGCAGCTATCGTACATCTGTGGTTATTCAGACAACGTTCTAGCTGCCTTAAGGAAGCAGCACATTTTTCAAAGGGCCCTGGGGTTTGGTTGGTGGAGGGGCTGGGGAGAAGGAGTACAAGGCAGATGCTGGGCTGTGAGGCTGTGGGGCTCTGTGAGGGCCTCATCTATGGATGCTGGAAGCCAGGGAAGGTTTAGAGCAGGGAGAGACTGGGCCAGGTCTGCATTTGAGAACAATGTCACTGGGGTCCAGGGGAGGCAGGACAGGAGGCGAGGGAGGCAGGAGACCCTTGAGGAGGCTGTTGCCAAGGCCCAGTACACAAATGCTAAGGACTGGCCTGAGGGAAGGGTCCCACTTCAGAGCCAGGGAGACTGTGCCTGACTGCCCTGGTCTCAGTCCCCTACACCCCCTGCATTACAGGGAGAGCTCACTGGAGCCCTCTGCGAACCTCAGGCCTCTGCAGACCTGAGTCCTAAAGGGGTCAGGCCTCATCCACTTTGGGGAATGTTTTCCAGGCAGGAGGCAGCGGGAGGGGACAGTCTTGCAGCCTGTCAGCTTCCGGAGCCTGTTTCCTCTCTCTCCGGGCCACTTTCCCCGGCCTTCCTTCCCTGCCCAGATCCCGAGGCCCCAGCTTCCCCTGCACCTCCCTGCAGGCCTCTGGGTAAACAACCCTCCCAGAGCCTGTGCTGGGAAAGGAGAGGGCTCGCAGCGAGGTGGCCCCAGCCTGAGCCCCTTAACCTCCCTGAGCCCCCAGTCCCGCATCTCTAACCTGGGACCGCCACAGTCTCTTTCTCACGGGCTGTTTGAGAAGGCTGAAGGAAGCTGTGGCCTGTCCATCCAGCCTATGCTGGGCACACAGAAAGGGCCCAACAAATGTTATTCAGAAAAGTCAAGAATGAGAATATCCCAAACAGCTGGAGGGATGGGGGAGGCTTCCAGGAGGAGGTGGTGGTTGAGCTGGGCCAAAGGAGAAGGGGACTTTCAAAGAAGCATCCCTAGCAAGAACCACAGCTGCCAATCTGGGCACTTGCTGGGGCCGGGCATCTGCAAGCATTATTGCATGGAATAGTCTCAGGAGGTAAGGATGGTCAGTCCCATTTCCATCTATGAGGAAACTGAGGCGTAAGAGAAGAAACTGCCTTGTCTGCAGTCACCCACTTGTAAGTGGTAGAACCAGGATCTGAACCTGCCGCAAGCCCCCTGCAGAGTCTAGGCTCTTTCCAAGGCACCTGCTGCCTCCAGTATAGGGGGCCTTGTTTTGTAAGCTCCCAGGGTGCCCCCGATTCCCTAAAGGGACAAAGCCTCACATCCTTCACTCCCACCCTACCTTATTCTTGACAGAGCTCCTCCACATCACCCTAGCTGCCACCCACCAACCCCAGGCCAGGGCTGCTCACCATGGGCTTCTTGAACTCATTGGGCTTGATGCATCGCACAAAGAAGGGCTGGCAGGCACCCAGCGTGCGCATCAGCAGCTCCAGCGACCGCTTGAACTGGCTGCTGAGTGTGGGCGAGCGCTTCCTGGTCTCGGCGCCCTGGGGGGACGGACGGCAGAGATGGGAGGGGCTATGCCTGCCCCTATCCAGTGTCCCAGGAGCCGCCCAGTAGGAAGCAAGAGGGGAGGTCAGTGGGTCAGGGTTTGAGGGATAGGGCGGTATTCGAAGTTTTCCTGCAAACTGCCTCTCCCCACCATCTGAGCTGGAGCCTGGATCCCAGATACCCCTCCAGGTAGACTCCCAGGACTTCCAAAGGTACCAGCTCTGGGCCAGGGGGAAGTGAACCCTACAGGAAGATCTCTGCACTGGGAGTCGGGAGCCTGCCCCTGCCCCTGCCCCTGCCCCTGCCCCTGGTGCGCTGGATGACTCTGAGCAAGGGGCAGCCCCTCTCTGAGTCTCATCCCCCCTTCCCTGCATAAAGGAGTAATCGGACTTGGTCACCTCAGGACCCTGAGGTCGTCTCTAGAGACAGGGGTTAGACAAACCTAGATTCAAGCCCTGGCCCACCACTTCCTAGCTGTGTGGCCTTAGGCAGGTCACTAAATGTTGCAGAACCTCAGTCTCCTAAGTGGAGGTGATACCATCTATCCATCTGACCAGGCTGTGATGAGGGTCAGAGGTCAGGGCATATTTCAGTAAACAGCAACCTGGAAAGGTGGTGCCGCCTTCTGGGAACCTGTGGGCAAGTGCGAGGAGGAGGAGCGGGAGCTGCTGGTGACCTCTCCCCTCCCAGGCTTAGCTGGCAGCAGCAGGCTGGGGGCGGGGCAGGCCTGGCTAATCCTCCTAAGAAGGCACACAAGCAACTTCCCCCTCATCCCTGTACTGTGGCACCGACGTGGCCAGGGGTTCTGTGCTCCACCTGCCACTACCTGGGCGATCCTAGCAGCCAGCGAGCCCCATGCACCTCCCTGCCCTACTGGGGTCCCCTCTGAGAATACTGTGGAATGAGGTAAAGCCCTGAGCCACAAACAAACAGGAAGCCAAACGGCAGGACTGATGGGAACTGGACACAGAGCTCAGGTTCTCTTCCAAAGCATCTTGATGAGTGTTTTCCTGGCAATTTTCATTTGGTTGAGAATTTCTTATTTTATTTTATTTAACGCCATTTGGTTAATATAAGATTTAATATCTTTAGAGTCACTATTTCATCTGATATCCTGTATCATCAAAAACCAGGGCTGCAGATGTAGATATGTAAGGTATTTGGGGGAACAAAGGTGTTATGCTCATACTCAATTTAGGTAATATGCCACCAGACTGTGATGAGGCCTTCTGAGAAAGAGCCAGTGCCTGCAATTCTGAAATCTGCAATGCTTTCCAATTGCGTTGTATTTGGAATATATTCTAGGATTTTGCCCAGAGAAGCTGCGGAGTATTTGCAATGTGGTAGGGTGGTGGTCAGATCTGTGGCTTCCGGGATTGTCCTCAACTTGATCCAGCAGCAGCACTGGGTGACCCCAGTCACTGGAGGGGAGCTATTCAAGTTGGGCTGTACCCAGCCTGCGTTAGGGCCCCTGACAATGAGTACACACATACGCATGCACACACACAACACACACACCCCTCAGCATGCACACACACACATATAAGGAGCTCACGCATACCACCACGTGCACACACACGCACACGCACACCCTTCTTTGGTCTTGGTCATCACAATAAAACTACTACTTTCTACCCGTCCTCCCAGTTGGGCTCGGAGCCCCATGAGGACAGGACGGGTCTGCCTCTATACTGCTGCATGGCCAGGACCTACCTGACACAAGTAACAGTCAACACTTTGATCTACTGAAGTGCTGTTGAACTGGTTCCTAGTGACATCCATGGGTTCACAGAAACTGTCCACTTTCCTGTTGCTCCAGCCAAACATCTAACAACTGTCCACAGTGCCTCTTCTGTCACATTCAATATATTCGCAAATCTTACAGGCTCTACTTTCAAAATATCTCCAGAACCTGACCCCTTACCACTTCCTTCACCGTCAGCCTGGTCCCAGCCACCAGCGTCGCTCTCAAATTCCTGCAGCAACCCCCCAACTAGTCTCTTTGCTTCCATCCCCCACACTCCAGGCCACCCTCCCCTGGAACTGGGGAGTTAGAGAAGAGGAAAGAGTGGCAGAGCCAAGAGCCACACCTGTCTCACCAGCACGGCCACTCTACAACACATGGCCTTCAGACAGAGACTCTTCTGGGTGCTGGAGCTTCGAGTGCCTGGGACTCTTCCACTCTCAACACAGCAGCCCAAGTGAGGCTGCTAAAACAAAACCATGTCCTTTCCCCACCCAGAACCCTCCACTGGCAACTTGATTCACTTGCATGAAGGCACAGGTCCTTGTAGGGACCCACAGTGCCCCCAAAGGAGCTAGTTCCAGGGGCCTCTGGTCTTTACAACACCTGTTCCTACCCCTCCAGCCTCCTCGCCCTGCCTGGGATGCACCTGGGATGCAGGCACAGGCTTGCAAAGCACCTCAGGGCATCTGTGCTCGCTGTCCCCTCTCCCTGCAAAGCCCTTCCTCCGGAATGTGGCTGGGCACATTCTTCCTCACCTCCTGCTCAGCTTCTCAGCAGGCCTTTCCTAACACCCCACTGAAAATCACAGAGCCCCACCGCCTCATTCTTCCCTTCTTAATGTTTCCCTATGCCACATCTCACCATCTGATACACTGTAGCTTTTACTTATTTATTGGCTTTCTATTTACTATTAATTTTGAGACAAGGTCTCACTCTGACGCCCAGGCTGGAGTACAGTGGCACGATCTTGGCTCACTGCAGCCTCGACCTCCCAGGCTCAAGCCTCCTGCCTCAGCCTCTTGAGTAGCTGGGACTACAAGTGTGTGCCACTGCACCTAGCTAATTTTATGTTTTTTGTAGAGACAGGATTTTGCCATTTCGCCGAGGCTGGTCTCGAACTCCTGAGCTCAAGCAATCTGCCCACCTCGGCCTACCAAAGTGCTGGAATTACAGTTGTGAGCCACTGCACCTGGCCTTGGCTTTCCAACTATCCCCTCTTCTGCTGGAACTTAAGTTCCATAAGGATAGAGACTTTTTCTGTTTTGTTCACTGCTACGTCCCCAAGACCCATGACAATGCCTGGCATATAGTAGGCACTCAATAAAGGTTTGTAGGTAGTCAACTGGGTTTCTGATTTGGTTTTATTTCATTGAGGGGAAAGGCTGTCCTTCCTGGTATTTGCTGTTTTCTGTGACAATCTGCAGATAGGGATGGGGTAAAGGTGGAAGTGAAAAGTCCAAAGCCTCCCCAGAAAGGACCTGAGAGGAAGACCCCAGAGCGTGATGTGAAAGGGGCTGGGAATTCTCAGGCAGGAGGCCACCTGCATAGAGTGAACAGGTGTCTCTTGGGCTTGGGGCCCCAGGACATATGACTGGGCTTTGGCATTAATCAGGGGGTAATCAATGTCCTGGAAGAGCTGCCTTCATCACAGCTGTACTTGGCCTTTGACCAGCAAGTGCTGCGGTGGGGCTGCCCAGGGCTGCCTGGCGAGGCAGATGTAGGAGTCAAAGGCTAAAAACTCAAGGCTCGGGGACCTGCCCATGATGGGAGTTCAGATCACTGCAAGAAGTGGCGTGGGCTTCCATCCTGATGGGAGCATTGCCACTAGTACACTGCTGTTGAATAAACAATTAACCAAGCTGATTTTCATCTTCCTTTAAAAAAGCCATTGTGTTTCTAGGAGTTACGAAGTATGTTTTCTTTCCTAAGATGCGACGTTTATGGAGCCAGCATGGTAAATTTCTAAAAATTAAAATTATATTTAAAAAGGCAGGAACTTGGAAAACCTCACTTTAGCCCACTCTTGTATATGGCCTTAGACAAGTCCCTGAGGCAGGCCTGCGCTCGAATCCCTGGTGTGTCGCAAGGTGTGTGACCTCAGCGAGCACCTTGGTCTCTCTGGGCCCCAGTTTCTTTCTTTAAATGTTAGAGACAGGGTTGCCCTCTGTCACTCAGGTTGGAGTGCAGTGGCAAATCATAACTCACTGCAGCCTCCAACTCCTGGGCTCAAGGAATCGTCTTTTCTCAGCGCCCCCACCCAAGCAGCTGCGACTACAAGCGCTCACCACCATGTTCAGCTAATTTAAAATCGTTTTGTAGACACAGGGTCTCACTATGTTGCCCAGGCTGGTCTTGAACTCCTGGCCTTAAGCAATCCTCCTGCCTTCGTCTCCCAAAGTGCTGGGATCACAGGTGCGAGCCACGACACCCAGCCTGGGCCCTGGTTTCTTCACCTGTAAAGTGGGAGTAATAGTAATTACTCGCCAGGTTGCAGTGGGGAGTGAATGAGGTGATAAATATAAGTGCTTAGCTCGTAGCCTGGCTCAGAAGAGGTGCCCAGTAGATGTAACTGGTATCAGATTGGTCACTGTTGTATCCTAATTCTCTGCTCCTAAAACTTCCTCCGGGGTGGGCCATTTCCAGAGACTCTGGGATCCTGCACTTTGACCTCTCCAGGATTTCTCAGTAAATGGGTTCTAGTCCCAGAAGTAGGAAACTCAGAGCAGGAAATATCATGGAACATTCCCAGATGCCTCCAGGAGCTTTGAAAAGAGAGAGGAGAGAGAACAGGTAGGAGGGGAAGATGGGGTTTAACCAGAGTATGCCCAAGACCAGGAGGAATGGATGGGCCACTGAGTGGGGCCAGCAGGTCTATAGGAGAAGATGAAAGAGTGGGAGAGGCCAGAGCCATGCCTGTCTCAGCAGTGTGGCCACCTTACAGCACAGGGCCTTCAGGTGGGGACTCTCCTGGGTGCTAGAGCTTCCAGTGCCTGGGACTCCCCTCTCTCAGGTCGGCCCTGCACGCACCCCAGCAGTCGGCCAGCCTACAGTGTTGGTCTGTCAGGGTGAGTGGGGGTGGGAGGTTGTTCCAGGGCTGATCCATGGGCAGAGGGGAGAGGCCACCATCCAGACAAGCTCCTTGCTCCTGACATGCCCTGTCTACTGCCGGGCGTGTGTGGATTGTTTCAGAACTCTGCCAGGCAGGCAGGAAGGAAGAGGGACTCAGCACCAGGCCAAAGTGGAAGGATGTCAGTATTTGGCAGAGAGGAAATGAAGGTCTGAGGAGAGAAAAAGAGGCAAAGGGGTTGACAGCACTATGCTGTTGCTAAGGGGTACCCAGCACCTTTGGAATCTAGAGCACCATGGGAGCCACAGCCTGAACCAGAGCTCAGGACACAGCAGGGCTGCTGTTTCAGGCCTAAGGAGGTCTGGGGAATGGTGTCTCCTAGTCCCAGCTCCCCATCAGAATGCTGTGACCTGGAATGAGTCATATCCCCTCTCTCAGCCTCAGTCTCTCATCTGCAAAATGCAGAAAATGCCACCTGTCCCTCCTGCCTTGCAAGGTTATCTGAGCATCCGACCAAGGCATGGCTGTAGGCGCCCACTAGGGCCTGGTGGAAGAACCAGGGATTGATGCCTCCAAGGGGCCTTAGGAGACCTGTGTTCGAGTCCCTGCTCTGTCCCGGGTTCCCAGAGGACCCTGGGCAAGACTTGCCCCTTTTCTAGGACTCAGTTTCCTCCTTGAAGAAAGAAATGCCTACAGCACACACAACTCAAAAACCAAACACAAAAATCACTCCACAAACCACTCCACACAAAAACACACTCCAAAAAAAGGAGAAAAAGCCCAACCCTTTCCCCGAGCCTCAGCACCGTGGGGGCTCGGGACCAAGCCCCACCAGGCCGCTGGGGTCTTTTACCTTCGCAGCAGCTGCTGAGTGGCGCAGAGTGCCCGATGAATAACCACAGAGAAACTACAACAGGAACCACGGTGCAGAGTGAGATGGGGAGAGGAGGGGCAAGGAGAACGTGGTGGGTCACAAAACCACTCAAAATCCACCACGGAGAGAGGGGGACCCTCAGGGAGAGGGCTGGGGTCCTGGAAGCTCTGTGATGTCTTGATGGTCCTGAGGGCAGGGGACCGCCAGGCACCTGGACAGGCATGGAGGGGGCGGGGGCTGTCTTTCCCGTGAGGCCTTCCATGCACTCTCCAGGGAACCATGGGACAGGAGGAAAATATGAAATAAAAACGCATGCAACCCTGCAGGAGAAAATCTATTAGACCCTCACCCTAGGGCCTAAGGAAAGGCGGAGGGGGCAGTTCTCCCACTGTCTGATGGGATCTGCAGACATGCCTTCTTTGCCAGCTTCTCTGAGTATCCACACCCACCCCACATCCTTCAGGCTGGACGTGCTCTTTCTGCCTGTGCTCCCTTTAGCAGCTGGGTTCCAGGGGGTGGACCCCCACAGTAAACTGAGCCCTGACCAGTTCTGCTCTGTGACCTCTCAGGTGACTCTTCTCTGGGCCTTGCACCCCAGCCACATCTCCCAATTAGTACAATAAGAGGACCAGATGGGAACAGCTTTGAGGCCCCTCTAGGCCCCTCCTGGAGCCATAGCAAAGCTCCATACCCATTATGTGGCCAGGGGGGCTCAGATGAAGCTATTGGACAAGGGCAGGGCTCAGACCCAGGCCTGGCCTGTGGGGGCCCTTCCCGAACAACGGAAACCACGCCCGGCTTACCATGGCGACATCGGCCTGGAATATCTGCTTGATGAACTTGTTCCTGGAGGAGTGGACCAGTTGGATAATGTCCCCATGCAGGGTGTCTCGGTTCTTCTCCAGGAAGCCTGCGAGCAGCAAACAACAGTCACATCTCACCAGCTCTGGGAGGCCCTCCCCAAACCCACAACATCTGAGCCAGAAGGAACCTCAAAATCCACTAGTTCCACCATATCCGTTTCATGGTGGGGGACCCTGAGGCCTGGAGGGGACAGAGACTTGCCCAAGATCACAGAGAAAGTGAGGGGCCATCTCCCCAAAAACACAGCTCCCCTCTTCCAGACCTGTTCAAGAAGGGCAGGGGGGTCTCAGTCTCCAGGAGAAAGCAGGCCTCCTTCCTGACCAATCACCCCAAAGCCACCATGAGTCTTTTGAACTAAGACATCAAAAGGCCTTGTTAAGTAAGTGTGTGACCTGGGAGAGAATGTGTGTTGATCCGGTACAAGCTAATATTAAAGGAATTCATTAAAACCACCTTGTGATTGGACAGTGTGTTGTTTTACGAGGACCCCTCACAGATCCTTCTGTGTGGGACAGGTAGGGATTACCTCCTCTGCCCCCAAAGGGAGAAAACCAATGTTCAGAGAAGCTAAGTGAGTTGTCTAACATCACCCAGTAAGCCATGGGCAGAGTTAAGACTTGAACCCAGGATGCCGGTGCAAAGGAGAATCTTTGCACCCAGGACCCAGGACCCAGGACCCCCAGGACCCCCAGGAGCCTAGGGAGATTCTCCTGCACCACACAGACCCCAGAGAAGGCTGCCACTCACAGGGACCAAGGAGTCGGCAACTGGTTAATGGGGAGGGGGTTGGTAGAGTGGGGCAAGAGACAGGGTGTCCAGGGACTGCAGATGACTGAGGGGGAGTGCCACTGCACAGAGTAGGACCAAGGCTGCCCATGAATGGCAGACTGCACAGAGAACCAGTGCTAGGCTGCCCGCCTGGCACCTGGAGAGGGGGGAGTTGCAGGGGGCACACAGGAATGGAGGGTGGGCCTTGCAGTGGGATGTAATTGGGTTCTCACTGAAGCTCTGACAGACTCACTATGTGATCCTAGAAAGATCCCCATTCTGGGACTCCAGGTTCCTTAACTGTTGGGTGGGAAGGATACTGCCCACAAGCTTGCTTCTCTTCAGAACACCTAATACCACCCACTTCATAAATCCACATCATAAATAAGATGCTGTATTGAATAGGTTCTTTGTGAACTAGAAAATGTTGGTAGAATTCTTTCCAGTCATTTAGTCTCTTTAAACAACCTCAGGCAAGCCATTTCCCTTTCTGGGCTTCAGTTTCCAATTCTATTAAGGTAGATGACCCTTATGTTCCCTCCAGACATAGCATTCTATGGTTTTATAAATCAGCATAGAGATTACTCAATTATCACTTCTGTATCCTCGGCAACATCATGAAGCCTGGTACATAATAGATGCTAAGAGCATACTGGTTGAACTGAATGGAAAAATACAATCCTCTATTACTCCAAATGAAAGACCAATTTGTTTGCGCGACAGTCCTTCAAACTTAATGTCTGCTTCCTTCTTCCAACAATAAGACTGAATCTCACAGTCCAGTATTTTAAGGGAGCCTGAGCCGCCATCAGATTCTACCACTGCACCCTGGCTCACTGATACACTGCTGACTTCTGGACCAGTTCAGCAAGGGAGTAAGAAACGGTGGGTTATAGCATGTTTGAATGTCTTTGGCCTTTTTTTTAAAAAAATTAATTTTTAATTTTTTGTGGTACATAGTAGGTATAGATATTTATGCGTTAATTGGCCTTTGACTATGGGTAAGATCCCTTGAGGCTGTATGGCAGGGCTCAGGGTAGACACAGCCCATAAATGATGCCAATTTGAGGTTGGCCCTTTATACCAGGGTGGGCGGGAAGGGATTGGCAAGGGAAGTCTGCAGTCTTTTGACAAACCCTGTAAGAATTCCAAGTGAGATAAGCCCATGTTCTGACCACTCTTCTTAACTTCCAGCTTTAACATGAACCCAGTTGCATGTCCTCAGGAAAAGAAGATGCATGGTCTTCAAAGCTCATGCTTGGTCTTGTTGCCAAGAGTCTTAGCGGGTAACTGGACCGGTTCTAGGCCTGACTTTGAGCCTAATGGGCTATGTTGTATCAGGTAAGGACAGTCAAGCCCCCACCATGTTCTGAGCCTCAGTTTCCCTAAATGTACAAACAAGCATTGAGCCCATTCAAAAGAATTGAAAGCAGGTACTTGAATACATATTTGCACACTAGTGTTCAGAGCAGCACTGTTCACAAAAGTCAAAAGGTAGAAACAACCCCAAATGTCCATTCGCAGATAAATGGATAAGCAAAGTGTTTATCCACACAATGAAATACTATTCAGCCATGAAAATGAGGGTAATTGATACATGCTACAACATGGATGAAAATTAACGACATTATGCTAAATGAAACAAGCCAGACACAAAACGACAGTCATGCCTTCACCGCATAATGACATTTCAGCCAACTACGGATACAATAGTGGTGCCTAAGATGGTAATGATGTATTTTTACTGTACCTTTTCTAAGTTTAAATGCACAAATACTTACCATTCTGTCAAAACTGCCTACAGTATTTAGTACAAGAACATGCTGTACAGGTCTATAGCCTGAGGGCAATAGGCCATACCAGATAGTCTGGCTGTGTAGTAGGCTGGACCATCTAGGTGTGTAACTACCCTCTACGATGATTGACAATGACCAAATTGCCTAACGACACATTCTCATAAATGACATTAAATGATGTACAGCCATATCATATGATTCCACTTATATGAGGTACCTAGAATAGTCAAACTCACATACAGAAGTAGAACACAGGTTACAGGGGACTAGAGGTTGGGAAAGGAGGTATCGCTCCATGCATGCAGAGGCTCTGTTTGGGGCGGCGAGAAAGCCCTGGAATTAGCAGTACTGGATGTGCAGCACTGTGAAGTACTTAATGTCACTGAATCCAACACTTGGCCATTTTAGTCAAGTGTGTGTGTATATATATATGTATATGTTATCACAAATTTTAAAAATCTTTAAAATTCCGGATATCTTATTCCTGGGCTGGAGAAGGGGAAGGCAGGGCTACAGGCAGGGAGCAACAGACAGCTGGCAGCCCTCTGTACCTTGGGTCTCATAGTAGACGACACCTGCAAAATGGTTGATGCCAAACTGGGTCTCGTGGTTGTTCTTCGGGGGAATGTAGTTCGCGTTGAGCTTGTGCTGGGAGTTCAGCTTGTGTAACATGGTGGTGTCCGTGCCCTGGGGAGTGGAGGGGCAACTGTGAGTCCACCCTCTCCTCCATGGGCCCCACTCCCCTCCCTGCCCATGTCTTTGCACCCTGTCTCTTCTTCAGGAGCTTCCCCTCCCTTTATTTCTACCTCACATAGGAGCTCTCTGGGCCCCCATTTGCCCAACTCTTAAGTGGATGAATTGGAACTACGCAACTTTGAAAGTGCATTCCAGTTTAGACAATCGATTTCCCAAGACTAAAATCATGGGTGCAATCCTGTCTCCCCCTCCCCAGCTCTGAGATATATGCTGTGTCCTGAGCACCCATTCTGTGCCAACTGCATGCTTGGATCTTCATGGCCTGGCCCAGGACCCCGTGGACTGTAGGTGCTTCCCAAATGGCAGATGACTGTACTTGAATTGGCCCCAGAGCCACCTTGAGGGGTGGATATCATTAGTCCTATTTTGCAGATGAGGAAAGCTGTGGCTCAGAGCAGGGAAGGAAGCTGTGCACGCCCAAGACCCTGGGAGGCGGCGGCAGGACCGGCCCACCTTGGGGAACTTGCTCTCCTCATCGATGAGGGAGATGATATTCATGGGCTTGTTGGCGATCATGTCCAGGGCATCCTGGTTGTCGGTGAACTCGATGTGCAGCCAGTCGATGCTCTCCAGGTCATACTCCTCCTGCTCCAGCTTGAACACGTGTCTCACAAAGAACTGCTGCAGGTGCTCATTGGCAAAGTTGATGCAGAGCTGCTCGAAGCTACAGGGGCACAGGGATGGGGTAAGGGTGTTGTTCAGGCCCCACCCTGCAGTTCAGGGCCTGGCTCTGCCTCCACCTGCAGCGTGGCCTTTAGCAAGCTGCTCCCATTGTGGACTCCAAACTCTGAGGCAAGGGGATTTATCAAGTCCACCTCCCTCCAGGTGCAGGGGAGGACATGGAGGCCCAGCAAGGGCAAAGGACTTGTCCAGGGTCACTCCGTGAGCCAGAAGAAGAGTTAAGGCTTTTCAGGACCCTTTCTCTTGCATGATCAAGCCCTGGGGAGGGCTGGGGATTGGCATGTGGGCACCCAAACCCCAGGCAGATTGCCTGGGAGAGAAAAAGCCCAAACGCTGGCTGGTGGGCCATACAGGGATATCGAAAGTGGCCTTGGGAGGTGGGAAGGGGGCTGACAAGGCTTGGGAAACAGCCCCGGCTGCAGACAAGGCCGAGCCACGGACACAGCCCTGTGTGTTGAGTGTGGTGTTTTGGTGCTGGAGGAGGGCTTTGAGACATCCAAACAGCACAGGAACTGACATGACTTGCCAGGTCCTGACTTCCCAGCAGGAAGTGGGGCTCCAGGACCCACCTGTACATGACACACCCATCAGCCCCTCACATAGCCCCTAAAAGACAGAGAATCCCAAGGGTGGCTGAGACCCCAACACAAGTGTGGCTCAGGCCTGGCCTCCCTGCTTTGAGACACCTTGCGGCATGGATCTGGGCAGATCAGCAGTGGCCAGCGGGGCCTGGAGACCAGAGGTTGCCTCCCCAAGTGTTCAGGACGTGTACAGCCTCCTCGCAACCCCAGCCAGGCTCAGCTGACCTTGGGGAGGTGAGGGATACAAGGGGATGAGAAAAAAGGGGAGAGGGTCCACCGTGATGGTGGAACAGCCTGGTAGAGTGTATCAGGAGGCAACTAAATGTGCTTCACAAGAGAGAGACATGATTATTTCTTATGTCCATACTGGGGAAGGAAATTCCCATCAGCAGAGCCCCATGCGGTACCTGTTCACAGCAAAGTTCTCGAACCCAAAGATGTCCAGGAGGCCGATGGACCTGCGAGAGTTCTTCACATCCTGGGAGGGAGGCTTGTAAATTGCAGCGTTGATCTTGTCCACAATCCACACGAACAGCCGCCCGTAGATCCCCTGAAAGGCAGCAATCAGCCACTGGCACCAGCCACACCCTTCCCCGGGGGACAGGCCAGGCTTGTGGACCCTTCGTGGCCTCGCTCCAGCCCTTGTGTGGAACAAAGTGATATGTGGAACCCCCAACCCTTTACTTAAGCTGTTCCCTCTGCCTGGAGCCCCCTTCTTCTGCTTGAACAGTTCCTACACATTCTTCAAGGCTCTGTTGAGATAACAGCTCCTCTCTGAGAAGCCTTCCCTGACCCTGCAGCCGGGGAAGGAGCCCTCCTTGGGGCTCTCATCTCTCTGTCCAACCCTGTTTATCTCTGAGGTCCCCAAACACAGCCCAGGGCCTGGTGTGGTAGGTGAAGGCTCCATGAATGGCAAACATGTGGCTGTAGAAACAGGACCCGATCCAGCCCCCCTCTTCTGTGTCTTCTACAGAAAGACCAAAGAGAGTAACCCGGGGCTGGGAACAGCATGGCTGATCAAAGCAGGCCAAAAGCCAAGGGCCTGGGGTGGCCAGAGCTAGGAAGGTCCCAGAGGAGCATGGGCACCTGGGACTCGAGGAAGGTCGACTGTGGCCCCGGGGCAGGCACGGGTGGCGACCCAGACGTCTACCCGCCTCCCAGGACTCCTTGGCACCTGCCCATCAACAGCCCAACTTCCCGAGAGTTAGGGCGAGCGAGCGGCCCCTTTCTTCCAGCCCACCTTGACGAAGGCATCGCGTACGTCCAGTGCCTGTTCCCTGCTCAGTGGGGTGGACACCGTCTCCCCACGGGTGATGAGGGTGCGGCTGGTCAGGCAGCTCATCAGGTCTGGGGGATTCACCTGGTGCAGGCAACACCCCCGGTGCTCACCATCCAGCCTGCCCCTTCCCTCCACCCACAACCAGACCCCTCCACTTTCCAGCACTGGCCTGGCCCAAACCACTGCCTCCACTAAGCACGCCAGCCCCAGGGCCCACGGCCAAATTCTCCCCAGCCATGGAAACCTGCCCTGGTGCTGCCTGGAAGGAACTTCTGTCTCCTTGACAGCCCCGCTTAACTCCCTCCAGCATGTCACCTGTCCTTTCTAGGACCATCCCTAACTCTGGCTTTATTCATCCCCGTTTTCCAACCCTAGTAAGTGTTTGCTAAAAGACAGACAGACTCAATGCATTTGACCCATGGACACCAGTGCCCTTTGCCCAGATGTGGAGATTGAGGCCTAGAAGGCAGGGATGACTCACCCAGGGTCACATAGCCCAGGGCATCACAGGGCCCCCACCTGCCCCGTCATCCCCAGGGCAGCTCCTCCAGGACCTGTGCCTAGCGCAGGACCTGCACACAGTTGCTTCTCCATATTGAACATAACTCTCCCAACCAGAGGGTCTCAGCAATGTGGTTCCCACATCCCAGCCCCCACTGAGCTTGAACTCAACCCTTCAGACAGACAGAAGTCGTGGAGGGGAGAAAGGCTGGGCACTGACCTCAAGCAGGGATGCAGCTGTGGCCAGCGACGGCGAGAAGAGGACCTCACAGGCATCCAGATTTTCAAATGTGCGGGCTGTTGGCAGTAAAGGGCACAGCATCAGGGGAGGGAGTGTGGGCAACAGGGGCAAGGGGACTGTCCTAAGAAGACTAGGCTGTCACTCCTGCTGCCGGAGTCCTGCCCTGTCTAGTGAGGGCATCAGCACTGTGACTAAATGCTTCCCCGGGTCAAGGTGTATTTGATTAATGATCTCACCATGAGACTGCAGGCACCATGAGGGTAGGGACCATGTATGCCCCGCACATGGCACCAGGCCTGGCATTCAAGGAACAGACACTAGTCGTTGCAGCTCTCTCCCTACTCCCAGGGCTCTTGGCAGCAACCCTGGCTCCTGTTAGACAAACTTTGGATTGCCCGTCCCAACATGTGCTCTGTTCTCAGGGCCTTTGCACAAGCTCTTCTTTCTGTTAGCTTACATTTCCCTGTGTCTCTTAGTCTTTCAAGATGACTAGACTGTGATCTCCTTAGTGCTGGGATCATTCATTCCCTGGGCACATTTCCTGGGGCTCCTACTCTGCCTGGGGACCATGCTGGGAACCAGAGGCAAGAGCAGAGTGGGACCCGCCATCTGCCTCAGGGGACCACCTCCCAGCCTGGCACACAGTGGGTGTCCAAGAATGTTAGATGAGTGAACATGTTCCCTTCCCTAGCCTTCTCCCTTTCCAAAGATGGCTATCCAGTCACTCACACCTTACAATGATTAGTTCAAAGATAAACCCTCTCTCTAAGACATCTGACTTTAAAGAAGAAACCAACTTTGAAGTGAGTCTTAAAGGGTCCATAGACAACTCCCAATATACTTTAACTGTACCTCTCCATGGTGGACTGTCAGCACAGCGACTCTACACCCAACGCTGATTTCAAGCTAGCAGACCTGTTCAAATCTACCCACAGGCGAATTCTTCCCAGCTTCCATCCCAAAGAGGGCATGTGTTGGGACAGAAACTGAGCCACCAATACCGTGTGGGCAGCAAGGCACTGCACTGCCCTTGGCACAGGGGTGGGGCAGGGCAAGGGCAGCGCAGCCTCACCCTCATACTGCAGGTTGCCCAGGTGCAGGATGGCGGCCAGGAGCTTCGAGATCTCCCAGTTCTCGGTGTCAGTGAACATGAGCACCTTCATGGCGGAACGGATGTTGGCGTACTCCTGGCTGTCCACCCGGCCCTCACAGGTTATGCAGTTACCCTGGTGGGCAGGGTGGGAGAGTGGGGTGCAGGAGGATGTCAGTGTACCCCCAGAGGGGCAGTGCCTGGCTGCCTGCCCAAAAGGCCCTTTCTGCCTGACAGGCCAGGCCAGCCTGGGGCCCTGGGCGCTGACCTCACCCGGTGAGCACCACGACTCCTCCAGAAAGTCTGGAGGGTCTAGAAAGCCCGGGCTCCCCAGGAACTCATTCTCCACACCTGGGGGTGCTGGTGCCTCTTCTTCCCATGAAGAAGAGCAGGCAGGTCACTGATGCCAGGCCAGCCCCTGTTGCCCACCTGGCAGTCACAGCACTTAGGTCCTACTAGGCTCCTGTAGCCCCCCCAGGGATGCCCACTATCAGGGACTTGACCCCCTAGGCAGGTACTGCCTGGTAGAGACAGAGGAGAGAGGTAACTGCATACAAGCAGGGCATCGACGGGTGCACACCGCATTTTCTGTGTGTCTACAAGATGTGTGTGTGTGCGTGCACGTGTGCGCCAGCCAGCTACAGGAAGTGTCCAGGGTCACCTGTCACACCTACAACACACACATGCACATACACACATACGCTTCAGGTGCCGTAGCCCACATGGACGTCCATGTGGCCTGGCCCACCCCAGCCCAGCCCAGGCAACAAGACATGGGCTCTCCCCAAGGCTAAAGGAGTGGTGCTCCCCAAGCCAGCCTGCCATGTGCATGCCCCAAGGTCCCCCACCCTTTGCTTGGTGGCAGCAATGGCCAGGGGCCCACTTTTCCTTGGTGTCCAGACAAGCCAGCAAGAAGCTGGCACCTGAGCCCTGTGACCAGTGAGACCTCAAGGCTAAGTCTGCAGCAGCCAGCTCGCTGCAATCCTAGGGTGGATGCCCCCCTAGCCAGGTGCCCGCCTGCGCCTCACCATGGCCAAGTAGTTGTAGTCAGAGGCCTGGCCCAAGCCCAGCTTCTTCTTCTGATCTTCACTCATGCCCTCCAGCATGCAGTAGAACACGTGGTAGTTCCTTTCATCTGGGGCCTGAAAATGTGGGCACAGTGTTGGGGGCCAGGGGAGGAGGGCTGGAGGAAGCCATCAAGAACTAGCCTGGGACGATGGTCTACTATTTTAACAAACGGCTTGTGGAGAAGCCCATCGGTGGGTTTCATGGTGGGGTTTCCAGCACAGAGGCAAGCAGGCAGCAATACGGGCAGGTAAGGGAGCATCAGGGCCACACAGACCCCTGAGGCCAGGGACCTGGGTCTATTCCTGCATCCCTGGGGCTCAGGCCCACCTGGCGACAGACGCGCGACTTCTCCAGCAGGTACTGCTCAATCTTGGCGCCTTCGATGGCGCCCCGCTTGTTGAAGTGGATGTCGATGTACTTTCCGAAACGGCTTGAGTTATCGTTGCGGATGGTCTTGGCATTCCCGAATGCTGTGGAGTGAGTAGGGTGTCACTGGCAAAGCCCTCTCCCGCCCCACTGCCTGGTCCCACCCTCGGAACCCTGGCCCTACCTTCCAGAATGGGGGTGGCCTCCAAGACCTGCTGCTCAATCCATGAGTGTTGCCCACTGATGGCTGCCAGGAACTGCAGGATCAGCTTTGTGCTCTCCGTCTTCCCAGCCCCAGATTCCCCACTGCAGAGGAAGGGAGTGGCAGGACCTGTCACAACCTACAGGGACTCCCCACCCAACTGGAACTCAGCCCAGGCTGCACCATCCACCAGCTCCCCCATCTGTAATACCGGCTGACAATATGGACCCTCCAGGGCTGGGGCAGGGCTCAAGGGCCCAGTGCTCTACCGCATTCTCCTTCACCTTCATTCAGACACAAACACCCCTGCATCTGTACTTGCCATAGAGAACAACGCATATTAGATGTGCAGTCAATGCTTTGTCTTTTACCCTCTGTCCAAAAGAAAATAGGAGCCTGAGACGTCAACTGACCATAACTTAACAGGAGCCAGCAGTAAACAAGGCTGGCCTCAAAAGCTAACGTGAGCTTTGGTAGCATAGAGATATAATACCTGAGAAAGGGGAGGTGATTTTCTACATTGTTACAAAGCACAGAGTACATAGGTCTGCTTCCTGAGGAGCTTGGTGGCATTTCCGATAGCACGGGCAATCCCTAGAGGTATCAGCAGGAACCCACAGCTGGAGCTCTAGGTCCTAAGCCTGGAGCTCCACACAGGTGCTGGGCCGCCCACCTGATGATGCAGCACTGGTCACGGCTATTGCGTTTCATGTTGAAGTAGCAGTTGTCAGCAATGGCAAAGATGTGGGGGGGCATCTCCCCAATCTTCTTGTTGGTATACTGGCGGATGTGCTCTGGTGAGTAGATGGAGAGCAGCTGGTAGGGGTTCACGGCCACCAGGATGGAGCCCGTATACGTCTGTGGGCAGCAAGAGATGGGGAGCTCACTGACTTTGTGTGGGAGACTCTGACTCTAGAAAGCTCTTGGGCTCTGCTCTGGAGGGAAGAGTCCTGGCTTTGGAGTCGTGTGGGTGGACCTGGAGCCAGAATCGGGCCTCCTTAGGAGCTGGGGCAGGGCCATCCATCCAGCACTGGGTCTGGCTTGGAGTTAGTGCTCAGTGACATTTGATGAAGAGGTAGGTGGTGTCTCTACGCCTAGATTTCCTTCTCTTTATCTGTAAAAATGAGTATAACTGCTTGTGAAGGTTAGAGGAGGTGGTATCTTTTAAAATTCATGGCACACAGTAGGTACTGTGCAAATGCTGACTCCCACCATGGCCTTCAGGCCCTGTATCCCAAGCTTTCGGAGTGAAATTAATCAACGGGACCATGTCCAGGGGGAGGCCAGGTTGGTGAGGGAGAGGGGTGTGAGAAATGAGCTATAAAGAGCTGAAGGAGCTGGGGTAAGTGGCTTGGGGGCTGGGTGGGCCCCACTCTCTGTAGCACTGCCCCAGGACAAAGGGAGATGCTGTGCTCTGGGGGAGAGAGCACCTCCAGTCATCCTGTGCAGCGTAGGCACAGGGGCCAGGTGCACCTCAGATAGCCTTAAGGGGGTTCTCTACTTGGGCTCCTCTGTTAGTGCAAAGATCAGCTGTCTGTAGGCAAGGCTTCCTGTTGTGGGCTTGGGGTCCTGCCACAGGGGACAACAGCCTGGCCCTCCTGCCACCAGAGCAGGGTGAGGCACTCAGGGTTACTTCTCCCTCCTCCCACCCCATGTCTCAAACTTGAAAAGGTCAGGCAGGCCTAGACCATAATTGGCAGTGGATGTATTGACATCTGGGGCCTGGAGAGGCTGAAGAAAGATGTCCAGGGGAGGTGACAGTCCACCCTCCCCCTCCCATTCAGGGCTCAGTGCATCACAGCAGAGCCGCAGCTATGCCCCAGCAGCCTCAGCCTACCGTGGCCATGCAGGGAGCTGACTTTCCTGGCTGCAGGCACTGCATGCTGGGGGAAACGCCCACCCTGGGGCCAGGTGGGGCCAAGACCCAGCCTCCAGTCCTGGCCTTGGCTGTCCTGGACCAGGACAGCTGGCCAGAAACTGCCCTTCTCTGGGCCCAGGAAGACCTTCCTTTCCCACCTAAGCCTCTTCCTCCAATCAGCCCATGGAGGGAAGCACTTGAGCCTCACTGTGCTGACCTACTAACCGTGCCACGAGAGCCAAGCAGGAAGAGCTAGGGTGGGGTGGGGGTGGGAGGCTAGAGGGGAGCAGCCAGGCCAAGCAGGCAACCAAATAAGACACCAGCTGGAGCCAGCTTTCTGTGCCACACTCACCCGCCCTCCGCAGTTGGTCTGAGGTTGCAAAGTGCAGAGCAGAAGAAAAGGAAGCTGGTCAGTGGGGAACAGGGGCTATAAGAGCATTTTCCACGAATGGCACCCACATGGCCCAGGGCTGCTGAATTCTCAGATCAGGCCCTGCCCTTGGACCCCTCAGGCACGGTCCCCTACAGCTCGGCCCTGCCCAGCCGTGGGAGCCGGCTAGATTCTGGTGGAAACCTGCATCAGACTAGGAACCAGCCCCAAAGAACGTCCCTTTGGCAAACCTCAGTTTGCTCATTTGTAAAAGGGGAGGTTAACACCACTTCCCTTGGCTGTTGTAAAGACTAAAGGGAAAATACACAATTTTGCCAGGTGCCTGGTACATAAACGCCACCTTCCTTTCTCTCTTTTGAGGCAGAGTCTCGCTCTGTCACCCAAGCTGGGTGCAGTGGCTCAATCTCAGCTCACTGCAACCTCCATCTTCTGGGTTCAAGAGATTCTCCTGCCTCAGCCTCTCGAGTAGCTGGGATTCCAGGCATGTGTCACCACGCCCAACTAAACTTTCTTCCTGATTTCTTCTTAATAATGTGGTGCTCAGCCATCTGGCCCATGATCCCCACACAGCACAGGCTGATGCCACACAGTCATTCAACAACCCTCTGCTGAGACACACGGGGAGGCTGGGGTATGAGGGCCTTGATGGAGGCACCTAGATCTCATGAGGTAGGGGTGTAGGGGAGGGAGAGCCAGGGGGCCCGCCCGCGGGTAGCAAGCACAGAGGCGTGAAAGGGCGTGACATTTGGGAGGTCTGCTGCTGAAAGGTCACCCCGGCAGTTGTGGGGATGAATGGTAGTCACCCAGGCTGGAGGCAGAGGCCGTTTCAGACCTAATGGACCAGCCTCCGGGAAGTGGTCAGAGCCCAGTGGAGGGAGGCCCTGGGAGCAGGCTCCGTGGCCACATGCAGGGCACGGGCAGTCCAGAGAGGGAAATGGGGGATGCTGAGACGCTCTGAGAAGCTGGCCCAGGGCTGGGGCTAGGCCTTTTCCCACCCATGGCACCCACGGCCTTCTCCACTCTGCCCACAGCCCAGAGGGGCCTCCTGCGCATGAATTCTTCAGCCCTGAGCCTCCTGACATCCCTACTTGATGCCACCAGCACGTCCAGACCAGAGCTCCCCCTTCCCTCCAACCCTGCTCTCTCCAGCCTTCCCAACTTGACCAACAGCGTCACCACATCCCTCGCCCAGGGCAGGAACCTGGGGAGCCCCTGGACACCCCTCCCTCACACCACTCCCACTCTCCATCTGCATGCCGCCTCCCTGGCCAGGCCACGCTCATTTCTCAGCAGCCCACTGCAGGTGCCTCCCCACTGGGCTCCCGGCTTCCACACTCGCCCCCACAACAATCTATCCTCCACTTAGAGCTGCGCCGGCTTTTAAAACATCTAAACACATCATCCCTGCCGAAAACCCTCCAGCGGTTTCCCACAGCCTCCGGACAAAGTCCAAATGCTCTTCCTGCCCACAAAGCCCCAAGCCCTGGCCCCTGCCACCCTCGGCAACCTCAACCCACAACCAAGAGGCTCCATTCATATGAAACTTTCAGTTAAAAGCACCACACTCCAACCCCTGCCATCTCAGACCAGGGACACACTTCCCCTACCCCTTCACCCAGATAATTCCTTCTCATCCTTCAGTTCCAAGCCGAGATGACGCCTCCTCCAGGAAGCCAGGCACCTTCCTGTACAATCATCATAGCCACAGGTCTCCTTCAGCATGCCCAGCTGATTCCTCTACAGTCCCCATTCAAGGCCTCCATCCCTTAGGGCCTGTCACCATGCATGGCACATACGAGATGCTCAGCAACATTTGCTGAGTGGCTGAAAGAGCAACTAGATCAATGGGCGGGGAAGTACTGGGTGAACAGCGTCCACCGCCAGCCACAGCAACCTGCAGGGAAGGTAGCGAGGGGACAGGCCTGTCAGCAGCACTGAGGCAGCCCCAGCCACGTTGACAGGAAGGGCGGTCGGGATGTGGCCAGTGGAAAACCACAGAACAGCGTGGAAGGGATGCTACCATCTGTGCAGAAAAAATGAATAATTTTTTGTATATGTATGTATGCATGTATGTATCTACCTAACTACTACAAAACAAATAAAAGAAACAGGTCCTCTTTCCTCGGTGAGGAGGATTCTTTCCAGCAACAGGGCAAGAGCAAGCCCTCTTGGGCTCAGGACTTTGCAGCTCCCGCTCCATCACCCCTTTTACTCCTCAGAAGGCTCGGGAGGTGTGGTCATATTCCCCTTTCGCAGATGAGAGAAGCGAGCCTTCAGGAAGTGGGGAGACTTGCTAAGGTCACACAGCAGATGTGTGTGGGGTGGGGTGAATGAGAAACCCTGGCACCAGAGCCCCAGCTCTGGCCTCTCCACCTGGGCTTCCCCAGACCCCAGAAACACACCCACAGGACCTGCAGAGCCAGCAGCTGGGGTCTCCTGAAGAGGAGGCTGGCCACCACTGGCAATGAGACCCTGGCCCTATCCAGGTTTCTGTGCCCATTGGTCCTCCAAGGTCTTAGCACTGCTCCCTGAGCCCTCTGGCCTGTCTCTCTGACTCTAAGGATTCAGACTGGCAGAGAATGAACGCCCAGCACAGACCTCTTGCTCAAATCTCTAGTAGTAAAATCTGCCCTGCAGAGCCACAGGTTGGGTGGGGAGAGAGAAGGACTGTTCCCAAACCAGGGATACAGCACATGTGGCCCCTAGGGGTCCCAAGACAGAGCTCAGAGGGCCTCTCTGAGGCCACAGAGATGTAGCAGGAATCAATTTCACCTCCTCCAGGAAGCACCCAGGCCTGTCGGCTCTGGGGACTTCATTAGTATTTAGCAGGCCATGGAGACCAAGAACACATCCTGGGACTCACAAGTCTTCCCAGAGTCACAGAGGTGCCCACTCCATGCAGTCTCCCTGTTGTGCCTAGCAAAGGCTGAGACCAGACAGGGATAGGGATGTCCCCAAGGGCACACGCCAAGACTGGACACCAGCCTCCTGCCTCCCAGATCAGGGCTCCAGCCTCTGCTCAGTGTTAGAGAGCCCTGGGTCCCCACCAGCCCTTCCACCCAATGCGGGGACAGTCCTTGCTCTCTGGGCATGCAGTGAGGGGTTGCTAAATGTTCTCTAAGTGCCTTTCCTCATTCTGGAGTGGCTAGGGCTGATGTGTGGCCCTGGGATGCTCTCTTGGGCTCCTGGGGACAGGGAAGCTGGAGGCAGGAGAGCCCAGGACAGGCAGTCGAGAACAGGGCATCCACCGGCCCAAGGCTGTGAGCTGGCCATGGTAATCGGAGGAAATTCTGAGTGCACGTGTTGTGCCCAGGGTAATCCAATCCATGAAGGGACAGGGGGTTGCCATGGTTAGGGACAGGTACAGTTTCCGGGTGGAACAATGGTCCAGTTGCTTCTTCAAAGCCCTGCTCTAATCCTACCTCATCCACCAAGTCACAGAATCACGAACTCAGTGAGTCAAGGAAACTTCTTTGAATCCTGCAGTTCTTCAGCACGTCCAAGAGACACTGAGAATCTAAGGTCGGCGGACTATTGGAGCTGAAGCCCTTACAGGTGCCACAGCGTGGTTTCCTGGCCAGGCATCCTGGACAAGAAGGCAGCTTAGACACCTACCTGGGCCCCTACCCCATCCCTCCACAGGGGATGGCCCCGCCTCCTCCCTCTCACCCAGAAAATAAGTCAGAAAAAGGTTATGTGAGAACTTCAAATGAGGCAAATGGTTCAGATTTGGGGCCTTTCTGGAGAACCCATAAATCCCTGAAGTTATTTTCTTTGAAACTCTCCTGGAGGATGTAATGTCCAAGCAATCCTCTGCTGGCCGCCCGGGCATCAGCTCACCACCCTCCTAACTTTACAGACAAGATTCACTGAGCCCACAGGGTCTGAAGATTTGTCCTCCCTCTCCCTTATGAATCCTGTTTTTGCCTTTGTTCCTAGATGCAGCTGACCTACCGACTCCCTCGCGTGAGGACCGGCTTGCCTGCCCTGTGGCTGACCCACAGGCTTCAAGCCCCTGAGCTATGCTGAGACACCAGTCTGCAGGAGGCCTGGTGGGACAACTTCCATCTTACGCAGCTCCTCCCCTGAGACGGGGCCCTCTGCTTCTCCTGACAGGAGAGTGGGCCTTGGGTTCCAGCCTTGGCATAGGACTAAGACAAAGCATTGGCCCTGGAAGTGCCCTGCAGGCAGGTAGACAGGTTCCCTGCTCACCTAAGACTGCCCAGGCCTGGGTGAGTGGCCACAGAGGACCCCAGCACCCACCAGTGACCACTTGCCCTCCAGGGAGAGGAACAAAGAGGGGGCTGCCAAGAAGTGGGGTGTAGACACCAGCAAGTCCTTGTGAGATACAGCAGGTGGGTGTCCCTGCCCTGGGCTTAAGTTCTAGCTCCTCCCCGCTGCCTGGGTGATGCTGATGACATCTGGAGGTACCCTCCATGTCCTGCCCCTCTAAGTGCAGGTGAGGCCTGACTGAGGAACACAGTGAGAGGGGCTTCGTCAGGGCTAGAGGGCTCTCTGCCAAAGTCACTTCCAGTGCCCAAACAATGGACGGCAAGGAGCCACATGCAGCCTCTCCTCTGGAGCCTAAAGCTGCAGAGGGACCTAGAGTCAGAGAGTGGCTGAGGACCTCTCTGGCAGCTGAGGGGCCATAATTCAGGGCTTCTGAGAGGGACTGAACCCCTGGCCCTGAGAGCTCCTTGTCGTGATTCTTCAGTGACAACACCTGGGGCTCTCTGAGACTTTTCCAGCCCTGGGCCCTGGCACCCCTTCATGGCCTGACAACCTGAGGGATGCTGTGCCTGCCGATCACTCACAAGCATGGCCCTGCCTCCAGCATTTATTCAGGCCATGCCCCTCCTGAATGCCATTTCTACCAGCCAACCTCACCCACCTCCAGAAGCCCAAATACCGCTCCTCTGAGCTGGGAGCCAAATCACTCCTGCAGACCTGACACCTCCCCCAGTAATGCCCATAGTACCAGCCTTCCCTGGGCCTGGGTCTCGAGATAATCAGGCCGGTACTGCTTGGGGGGGAGGGGGATCCTTCCTGCTCCCTGCTGGGGGTTGCACCTCCTTGGTTTCCTTTGCCCTTGCACTGCTGGAGGATGGGGCTGGGTCAGAAGCAGGCAGTGACCCGGGCACGGCACCTCTCTGGGCCTGATTAAACCTGTGGCATCTCAGTTTCCCTGTCTGCAACTGGGCTATGGGGTAGAGCAGCAGTTCTCAGAGTGTAGACCAAAGACCCCTAGGGGTCCAAGACCCTTGCAGGAAGTCTGCAAAGCCTTCTGTTTTCCAACTACACATCTGTGAGGCCAAATTTTCTTCATACACTTCAGCCAAAATATCACATCAGACTGGACATTAAGCAGAGATGAGAATCCAGTTGGCTTTATTAAGCCAGACATTAAAGAGGTTTGAAAAAATCTGTAAAACAATGCTACTCTTCTCACCATTTTTTTTTATTTTGGGAAATGTCATTTTTAGTAAAAATGTTATTTATTTTATCTTATAATAGATTTATCATGGTTACTTTTTCAAAAATTAATATGTTTCTAAATGTCTCAGTTTTAACTTCTAATATGGCAAATATCTACAGATATAACTCAGTATACCAAAGTCCTTTGGGATCCTCAATAATCCTCAATAATTTTTAAGAACATAAAGGGTTCCTGTGACCAAAAAGTGTGAGAACCTCTAGAGTAAATGATCTGCACGGACCCTTATTGTTCTGCTCTTCTCTGAGCTCAGCCTCTTGGAATCTGCTGTGGCCTGGCTGGGGAAGACATCTTTATTTGTCGTCTTGAGTTTGAAGGTGGAGAGTGGTGTGTGTGTGTGTGTGTTTCTAATATCAAGGTTTGAGGGGAGGAGGAGCAGAGCATGTTCCCTCCTTTAGCACCCTCCTGAGGACATCCATCCATCCTCTCTTGCCCCTGAGGCCTGATGGCAGGTCCTAGCCCCTTAGCAAACACCCAGCAGAGCAGCCCTTCTGTGCCTGGGCAAAGCACCAAGCCGCTCACTGACTCCGCTCTGGCCTTCCATTGGTTTCAAGGCGTAGAGAGGCACATGAAAACTGTGTAGTACAAACCGCTCCCCACCCCAACCACACCACAAAAGCCACGGCCCACGAGGATGAGCCCCCGCCGAGCCAGCGGCTGCTGGCAGATGGGCCCCAACAGGGGCCCCGGGGTCCAGCTGTACAGCGGACAAAGTCTCAGGAGGCGGGCCCCCGGCAGGGCGGGCGTGCTGGAGGTGGGGAGGGCGGGGCAGGGCGGGGAAGGGCGGGGCAGGGCGAGGTGGGTGGGGTGGGGCGGGGCGTGGAGGGGCCTGGACTGGCAGGCCGGCGGGGGCGGCACTCACGTAGATGAGGTGGTCCCGGTAGCGGATAAGCAGGTTGCGCAAGATGCCCGCCTCGTTGAGGTCCCCTAGGCGGATCATATCCTCCACGCCGTGGACCGACGTGGGGTGCATAGGCTTGATGTGCGTTGCGTTCTGCGGGGAGATCCAGTGTTCCTGCGGGGAGCCGGTGGCCAATGTCAGCGAGCTTCAGGGGAAGGGGCCGGGATGGGCGGGAGCGCGGGGTGAGTGCTAACCCCGGTAAGGGCCTTGACCTCTCTGGCGGTCAAACACGGTCAGTTCTAACAAGGTTGAGCCTTTCAGGATGGTACTAGCCACCTCTACCCCTCAAGGACGGCTCCTTCTCTTAGGGGATTCTCTCGCAGACCTAAGAGGTGGGCAGGGCAGGGCAGGGATTTTGATCCCAGCTGACTGCTGTCAGTAAGGGGATCAGGGTTCCCTCAGGCCCTCTGCAGGATGGAGTGGAAAGGGTACTAATTAGAGGTAGACAGGCTTGGTCTCAAATTCAGGCTCCGGTGGAAAAAAAAAACAACAACATTAAAAAGTGACTTCAGGCCGGGCGCGGTGGCTCAAGCCTGTAATCCCAGCACTTTGGGAGGCCGAGACGGGCGGATCACGAGGTCAGGAGATCAAGACCATCCTGGCTAACACGGTGAAACCCCGTCTCTACTGAAAAATACAAAAAACTAGTCGGGCGAGGTGGCGGGCGCCTATAGTCCCAGCTACTTGGGAGGCTGAGGCAGGAGAATGGCGTAAATCCGGGAGGCGGAGCTTGAAGTGAGCTGAGATGCGGCCACTGCACTCCAGCCCCAAAGACAAAGCAACCCACCGTCTCAAAAAAAAAAAAAAAAAAAAAGTGATTTCAGATAGTGCCAAGAATACCTCAACAGGTGTATGTGGTGGAGAGTCATGGGGGGAGCTGCTTGAGATGGGGTGGTCAGGGTCTGCCCCTCTGAGGGGGTGGCATATGAGCTGAGGCATGAAGGAAGAGAAAGAGACCACTGTAAAAAGATTGGGGGGTGGGGGCGGGGGGCCAGAGGGCTCCAGGTTCAGGGAACAGCAAAACAACGGCTCAGGCCGGCAAAGCCTTGGCACATTCAAGGGAAAGACGGAAGGCGGGGCGGTAGCAGTGGCGCTGGGGAGAAGTGGACCCACCGGGCCGTATTTCCTGGGGCTTGCTGATGAGCTGTGGGAGCAAGGGGTGTGAACTGTCGGGACCTGTGAGCTGAAGTGGAGGACACAGGTTGCTTGCCCAGCTCTCCTTACTCTGCAGTATTCCCCGGCTGCCCTGTGGTGGCAGATGGGTGAGCATTTGGGAAGTGCACCGGCTCTTTCAACAAGCTGGCAAAGCCCTGGTTTCCTCAGGGCCCTGGGGCCCTCCCCGACCCCAGAGGGGAGTCTCCAGCACCTTCACAAAATCCCAGACTTTCAGGGAAGTGTGACCACCGCCTGAGTGTACCTCAGCCCTCCCATCCCCAAATGCCATGACCAAGTAGCCCCAGGACCTGCCTTTTGGGGGAAAAGGGGACCTCTCTGCCATCCCCCAGCTCAAGCCCTGAGACTTGCTGAGCAGATGTGATGCACATGCCATGTCCTCCCCCACCTGCTCCTCCTCCGGGTCCCTTCTGGCAGAGCCAACCCCAACAGCTGGACACTAGCATGAATCTGGACATCAGCTCCCCACCACCACCACCACCCCAGTCCAACAGGTCACCCAGTCCTGCCCATTCAACCCTCTAAAAGGCTGCTGAGTGGGCAGTGCCCTCCTCACCACCCTCAAGCCCACACCCTGATTGAGACCACCATTTCTCACTGGCTCTTCTGTCAAATCCTTCATCCCCTGGTCCTTTCCTGAGGCACGCTCCTGACCCTGTCACTCTGGGGCTCTCAGCCCTTCCTTAACTCCCCTGGGCTCCTCAGCCTGGCATCAAGGGCCCACATGTGCTGGACACAGGGATCCCTAGCCTCCATCCCAGCTACCCCTGGCACTTCCTAGCCAGGGAACATGGGTTTCGTGTCCCCAAAGGCCTCTGTGACTTTGCTCCACCATTCCCTCTACCTTCTTTCTCCTTAGCCTTCGAGGCTTGGCTCGGAGGTTTCCCAGTTTCTGAAGCCTCCCCTGACAGTGCTGGCCACCCTCACCTGTGCTGTCCCCCTGCCTCCAGGGCCACATCTGAGGCCACGGTGTCTCGCACAGGGGCTAGGCACAAATGATGTGGCAGGGAGCCTCTGATGGGACAGATGGCTGGCTGGTGACTGCAGGGGACCAGGTCTGAATGAGAGGCAGAAGTCAGTCATGGAGAGACCCCAGAAGTCCCCCATTTCAGCCCCCTCACTTCACATGAGAAAACAGGCTTGGAGGACGGTGGCAGCCTGCCCAGGCCCTCAGGGGGATCAGGGTTTGCGCTGGGCAGAGCCCCCCAGCCCAGTTTCCCTGACACTCCATGGCCAGCAGCACTTCAACACAGGGTAGGTTCTCATGCAGCCTCCCCAAGGCGAGGGGTTGGGTGCTGACGTTAGGGAACCTGCCTGGACTTTCCAGTCCCGTGTGGAACATTCCTCTCTCCCAGGCACCCTATGTCTTATACAAGCTGATCCCGTTGGAAAATCTCCCCACACCGTCCCTGCTCTGTGCCTCTATCCTAGGCCCCAGTGTGGACAGGAGGGGAGAGGGCTCCTGGGCAGGCTGTCTGCCATCCCCATTTGACCCCAACCTCAGGTCCCCACATCCCTCCCCAAAACAGTTCCACACACAGGTTGACAGTGCTCAGTCACGGCATGACCCCAGACCCCAAAGTACATCAGTTTACCCTCCTGAGCCTCCACGCCCTCAGCTGTGAAATGGGAATGAGAGTAAGCGTCCCTTCTTCCCAGGGTTTTGGGAGGACTGATGGATGTGATCACGACATCCATCTTTGTTGACAGCTTTCTCCTGCCAGGTCTGTAGAGTGCTGCTGCTTGGTAAATGCTCAGCCAAAGCTGGGCATTGTCACTCTACTGCCTTTTGATTTACATTTGCTCTTCTAACATCCCTAACAGAGAATCACTGACCCCATTTAACAGTGACGAGTCTGACTCAAGAGGTAAAATGACTTGCCCAGTAGCTGCGCCGCTCACACTGTTTCCTGCGTGGGAGGACTCCCAACAGAGGCCAGCACCCTTCAGGTCAAGGTCCACAGGTACCTACCAGGGGCCAAAGTGTAAACAGGGCAGTAGCTGAGGCCTGGCCTGAAGGAATGCCAGCAACTGGGGGAGGGGAACACGGTCAATTCCAGGGACCAAGTATGCCTTTGGGAAAGAGCTGGCCTGTACTGAGCGGGGACAACTTGCTCCCTAGAGGAAGGGAAGGAGGGGTGTATCTGGCAACAGGATTGGCTTGGACAAAGGCAAGACACTGGGATTCCAGTGGGGACTGGAACCATAACCTTTCATTCATCACTCGGCGAGTCTTTACCAAGAGGTTTCTCTGGGCAGACCCCTTGATGAACTCTGGGGAACCAGATGGAACTGGCCTGTTCCCTGCTCTCAAGTTGCTAGGAGTCTGTGGGCAGACAGAGGGGTAAGAGATGACAGCCTGGAGTGGGGAGAGAGGGGATGGAATGGGGGTGGGAAAGGCTTGTAAAGAAGGGGTCTGGAAGCCCTGGGGGTCCAATGCCATGGATGCAAACCCCAGCCTCCTGAAATGCCCCTGCCAGCCAGTCATGCCCACCCCTCCTGCAGCCCCCACTCTCAGGGCCTGGGTGGAGGAGAAGTGGAAGGGGACCTTTGGGATTCGGTGACTCAGAGTTACGGGACACCATCTGACATGCAACATGACCCAGGTGAAACTCAAGCCTGCAGACAGAGTCCCTGGTCCCCACCCTGGGGGCTCTGGGCAGGTTAGCAGGCCCGTCTGTGCTGCCAGCCAGCCTGTGCCTCCCCTTCTGGGGCTGCACCCTCACAGTAGCTTCCTAGAGGGTCCTAGAACTGGAGCCTCTGGAACGATATTGGAAGCACTTGAGTTCTACAGCCCAGGGGCCAAAAATGTAATCACATTTAGCAGAACCTGAGCCCTAAAGTCGCCACCGAGATAACGCTGACAGGGGAGACTCACGCACAGAAGACAGAAGTCCTGGGTTCTACTGAGATAATGCTGACTCACGACAGAAGACAGAAGTCCTGGGTTCTACTGAGATAATGCTGACAGGGGAGATTCACGCACAGAAGACAGAAGTCCTGGGTTCTACTGAGACAATGCTGACAGGACTCACGCAGAAGACAGAAGTCCTGGTTCTACTGAGATAATGCTGACAGGGAGACTCACGCATAGAAGACAGAAGTCCTGGGTTCTACTGAGATAATGCTGACAGGGGAGACTCACGCACAGAAGACAGAAGTCCTGGGTTCTAATGCCAGCACCACCACTTACTAGCTGTGTGACTGGCTGCGTGGTCCCTCTATGTGCCTCAGTTTCCTCATGGGGTAACAGTTCTTTCCCTCCCTGCCTTCCACAGATGCCATGAGAGTCCAAAGACAGAACTTGGGTTAAAGGGCCTTGTAAACGCTGAGGGGATGCACCTGAGGGCTGCAGGAGTATGTGGGATGCTCCTGCCCACTCCAAGTCAATCCTGGCCTCAAGGATCCTGAGCCCTCCTCTCATCCCCAGCAGAGCCTCGGTTTCAAGTCCCTGCACCCTCTTTCTCCTGACTCTCCTCCCTCAGACCAGGAGGCTAAGACAGGTACTCAGTCCAGTTCTATGTCCCCAGCCCCTGGCACACCATGGGGCACAGCCCACATTATGGCAGAGCTGAATCTCCCTGGGTTCTTCATATCCCTGCTAAGCTGCACCTGTGTGCTCTGCACCCCATCTGCATACCCCCAGTGACACACACATGTGCACACATGCTCAGAGGCCCCAGAGCTTCCCCTCCGGGCCCGCATGTGAACCAGCCACCTTCTCCAGGGCAGGCCCCTGACTTCAGACCTCTCCGAGGCCCCACTATCACTACCTAGAAAACTTACACTTCTGGGGTCCCTTTCCTTTTGGGCCACAGATAAAGGGTTAATCTGTGAGACCAATTTCCGGGGCAGTGTCAAGGTGGACAGTGGATTCATGTGATGTCAGTAACCCAATACAGTAAGGCTGTGGGCGTTCATTTAACTTTCAGACTAGCACTAACTTCACTGAGGTGTTCTACACATGTGATCTCACATATGGGTCAACAGCCCTGTGAGATACTTATTATTATCCTCATTTTACAAAGAGGAAACTGAGGCTCAGGAGGGAAGGAGACTTGGCCAAGTCTGCACAGCTAACAAGTGGATGAGATGGGATTTGAATGCAGTCAGTCTGCCCCCAAAGCACCTCCGTGTCTGAGGAGCTTCTAGCCTGCTCCCCCAGCACTCAAACCCCACCATACACACACACATCTCTAACACGAGGCAGAGTGAACTGAAGTGCTTGTGGAAACAGAACAAGTAGCCTGAGGCAGGCAGGGGGTTCCCTCTTGCTGGGGTGCTGGGGAAGGCTCATGGAAGGAGGCATCTGAGAGGCAGAAGTGGGGGCACGGGCACAGCCTCCATCTTCTTTAGATCATCTCCCTGCCTTGAGGCAGCTGTCAGCCCAGATCTTCCCCCAAGGCATGGGGCAGGAGGAGGGAGGGGACTACTCACATTGCCTTCATCGTCCACCACCTGGATCTGCCCAGAGTCGCAGAGCTTCACCACTGCCCCGATGGGCACATCAAACTCCTGCCCCGATCTCAGGTCCATCCACACGTAGTCCCCCTATGGGCAAGAGAGAGTCCCAGGCCAGGTGAGCAGGGAGCCCCCTTCCAGGCAGCCCTGTATCCCTCTGCTACCACCAGAGGCTCTGGGCCAACCACAGAAGGGGGAAGAGAAGGGGACTCACACTTACTAGAAACCTTCTGGAGCAGGGCAGGCCCTGGGCTGGCCATTTATGCAATGTCATCAGTCCCTCCTCTAGAGCAGCCATGTTCCCATTTTACAGAAGAGTTAGCAGAGGCTCAGAGGGAGCCAAAGCCTCTTGAAGCCCAGCTCTCCCCATGGATCTACACTCTACATGTGTATGACAGATTCACTGGAGTCTAGACAGAAACACCAGACCACTCAAACCACTTCCTCTCTAACATGAGGTGACACCAGAGGACACCTAGACCGTGGGTGAGCTGCATCCTTCTTTACCTCCAGGGCCGATTTTCATCATCATCATGACAGGTTCCTCACAGGGACACCACTCCGTGCTGGGCCCTAGATAAGGGTTCAGCCACATTGTCTTCTGGCATGTGGGGAGCGCCCTGACCTCGCAGGAGGATGTCGTTTTGCGTTTCTGTGGCATCTGGCCCAGGGCCTGGGTCTCACTACTCACTCAGTAAGGGATCGTGAGAGTCAAACATAAAATCCCAAGTCAGAGAAATGGACTGAGAACAACCACATTCAGCACTGATGGATTCAACAGACATGTATTGATTACCTACTGAGTACAAAGCACTGATTAATCTAAATGCTGGGGGTTGAGCAGTGATTATGGAGTCTACATTCAAGTTAGAGGTGGTGACAAACAACTGAGCAAATAGATCAGCATGATCACTTTGGATACTGGGGTGAGTGCTGTCAAGGAAATAAACAAGCCAATGGTAGAGAATGACAGGGCCAACCAACCTAGACCCAGTAGCCAATGGAGCTGCTCCGTGGAGGGAATTGCTAAACTGACACCTGAAGGATGACAAGCAGTCAGCCAAGGGAAAAGCAGGGAACAGTAATCCCAGCATAGGAAAGAACATGTGCAAAGGCCCTGTGGCAGGAAGGAACAGCCAGGAGGCAGGACCTAATGAGCAAAAGGGAGCTCAGAGAAGTAGACAGGGTCCAGGATACATAGGCCCTTTGTTGGCCTTGGGATACAAGCTTAGATTTTATTCTAATCCTAATAAAAGTATTCTTTTTTGGATGGTACTCAAACTCCCTAGGAGTGTGGAAGAACTCAGACATTCTAATAAGAATATAACTTAATATCAAATTGCAAATAAAAATGTAACAGCTGATAAAACTGATTCACAATGAAGTAAACCCATGGGAATGGTCTGACAGAATCTGTTCTGGGCTAGGAGTCAGAAGACTGGGTTTCAGGCCCTGCCTGGCCTTGGTGAGTCGCTGACCTCTTTGAGCCTCAATTTCCACATTTCTCAGTGAAGGCTGAACTCAGTGAGTCCAAGACCAACTCATTACTGTTTCAGCCTCCTCTTATTCCCATCAGAACCAGCTATAGTCATGCATTGTTTAACGCCAGAGATAAGTTCTGTGCGAACATCTTGGAGTCATCGAGTGTACCTCACAAACCTAGATGTGTACTTCACTACACACCTAGGCTGGATGGGGTAGCCTCTTGTTCCTAGGCTACAAACCTGTACAACCTGCTACTGTACTGAATACTATAGGCAGTCGTACTCCATGGTGTATATTTGTGTATGTAAACATATCTAAACATACACATGAAAGGAATAGTAAAATATGGTATTATAGTCTTATGGGACCACTGCCATCTATGTGCTTTCTTCCAGCCACAGCTGTCCCTGTGGACCCTCTCTTCATATGAATGGGAGGTTGGCACATGATAGAGTCAGGCTAGTCCCAAACCCAAACTTCCTCTCAGAAAAAGTAAGAAAACTTGGAGAGGCTTGGGAGTGGAAGAGAACTCCTGTTTATGGAGCATTCACTGTGGGCCTGGGCTCCACAGGCTGCATCCCATAAACTGCCCCATTTAATCCTCACAGCTGCTTGTGCCCAAACCCTGCTGCGCTCCCCGACCCTGGGCTTACCCCTGACAGCCACCCCACACTGGGTCTGCTCCCCTTCCCCACTGGCCTGGAGCTCCCTAGGGTGGGGCTGAGTCTGAGTCCCTCACCTGTGGCTCCCCAGAGCCCAGCCCAGAGCGGGCCTCAGTGAGAGAGAAGGGGTGGGGAGCGTGTTCGCTTGTGGGTGACAGTATGTGGCCAGGGGACTGTCTCCAATTTCTCTCCTCAAAGAGGTCAAGAAACATGCCCAAGGTCACACAGCTGTTTTGTGGCAGAGCCAGGACTGAAGCCCAGGTCTGAGAAACCCCAAATCCAGGGCTCTTTCCTGACATTCCCTGGGCCCAGCCCCACATGTAGCTCAGTGAGCAAAACAGGAAGCACTGATAGAGTCCTCCGTGCCCAGATGGCTCATGGACCCTGAAGGCAAGCTGGAGACAGGCTGAGGGCAACTGGAAGGCAGGGGTCTAAGTCACCTGTATCCCCCAGCCCAGCACGGGGCCTGGCACACAGAAAATGTTTGTTTCCCCTGGGAGAAGATAAAATAACCAAAATCACAAAAACTTCATGTGAGCGGGAAATGGAGATTCCTAGAGGCTGAGTGAAGCACTTGGGGCCACACAGCAAACAGACATGACTAGAACTCTTCTTACTTAGGGCTGTCACCAAAGGGCAGTGACCAAACTATCTCTGCTCTAGGTCAGACTTAAAGAAACAGTTTCAGATGGAAGGGGAGAGGCTTCAGGGAGAATTCTGGGGTCTTAGGACTTCTGAAGGGGAACATTCCTGTGGCCCTAGGGAAAGTTGTTGAAGCATTGCAATGCAGGAAGGTTGTAAGGATCCTCATTTTACAGCTGAAGAAACTGAGGGCCAAAGAAAGAAAGGAACCTGGCCACGGACTGTTAGCATCTGGAGGACAGAGCCAGGACCAAAACCAGGGTGGGTCAAGAGTCACTGGCTCAGAGGGAGAAGGGAGGGAGGAAGCCACGAAAGAAGATGAAGCTTCATTGAGGGGCAGGAGGCAGGTGAGAAAGGGGAACCAGGCTCCAGGTAGGACCCCACCACTCCCTTCCATTCCCATGGCTAGCCCCAGGCACCCCACCACTGCATCTGGCCCCATTCCTACACCATGTTCCATGACAACTTTACACACTGTATGGGGCACCTTGCTTGGTCTCGTTTTGAATGGAAGATCTCGTTTGTGACATGACACATGCCTCAGCGTGGCTGTGTAACGTGGGGCAAGTCCCAGCTTCTCTCCTATCAAATAGGTGACCAGGGCAGAGGGTCTCCCAGGCCCCAGTAGCTATGCAGGCTCCCAGTCCCACAGTCGTGACTTCCTAGAACGGGTCTGTTCAAATGTTCTCAGGGGTACCCCAAAACCCCTGTGGGGCCTCCCCTCCAGGAAAGCCAGCACACATCCACAGTGAACACAGAGTCAGGATGTCTAGCTTGTAGTCCCAGCTCCATCACTAACGCTGTGTCTCTTTGGGTGAGGCACTCAATCTTTCTGGGCCTCAGTTTCCACCAGCCTTGAAATGGAAGGAGTCAGTGCATGTAAAGATGAGAGACCCACGCAAATGCACATTGTTCTTTCTGTCTACCCTCCTTCCTCCCAGGCATCAAGCCGGTCTTGGGCCAATATTAATAATTCCCCATGGGGCCTTAGCCCTTTCTGCCTCTTCCTTACTCTAGGACCAGGCCTGGGGTCAGTCCCTGTTTATGGAGTCTGTTTCAGGACATTTTGCCCCTCGTTATCTTCGTGATCACTCCGGGACACTGGTTTTATCACCCCATTTTCACAGATGGGAAACGTGAGCCAAGCGTCTTGCCAGTGTCTAGTTGCTAAACATAGTTTGGAGAGGAGATCAGTGGGCCGAGCTTTCCCTTCCACCAGCGGTCAGCCAGTCCACAAACTATGGCTCGGGTCCCTCTGTGCACCTGGAGGTGCTCCCGGCTTTGGACCTGAGCAATGCAGGACACCCCTGCCCAGACATGGCCGGCCTGGCTTGGGTTTCCCAGATGCAAAACCTCCCCTCCCAGGAAAGGGCAGCCGCGGCCAAGTTCACGCTAGGGGAGGTCAGAGACCGCAGGTGGTATCCTAGGGCTGCCGTCCACGCACACCCTGAAGCTTAGCGACCCTGTTTGTGGCCCCCCCAGCTTCTAACGGGGAGGGGGGTGGGGTGGGGACTGAGGCCGGAGACGAGGCGCCTTCCCCCTCCCATCTCCCCTCCCGGTCCGGGCCTCACCGGCAGGACAGCGTAGGTCTTGAACGCCTGGTTCAGGCTGCGCACCAGCGCCCACTTGCCGAGCTGCGGGACGCGCGCGGGGTCGGCAGAGTCGGCGGGGTCGGCGGGGGGCTCCATGGCGCGGCGATGGCGGCACTGCTCCGGCTCCCTAATTCACCTAATCCCGTGCGCGCCGCCCGCCCCGGAACCCTAAACCGGGCCATCTGCCGCGGGTCCATGGCAACGGCGGCTTAGGTGACGCCCGCGGGCAGGACGGCGAGGGGGCGCCCGCACCACCCCGGCCCCCTCCGTCTCAGCGGAACCCCCCGCACCCCCACTTCGCCGGGAATTCCAGGCGGCCTCACTGGCCCCGTGGCGGTAGGCCTGGGATAAACGTGGCACCTGGCACCGCACCTGACCGCAGTTTTGGAAAAAATCGGTGTGTTTTCTCTGGAAGGAAACACGAGGATGTTATGGAATAGAACGCGGTAAACTCCCGGGGTTTTTAAGACTCAAGGGGAGATGCATTGAAGATATTTCTGGCTCCCTGGCTGCTTCTAGGGAGTGAGGTCAGATACACAGTTTCCTTCTGGGGTAAGTTTGGGGGAAAGCCCCTGAAGAGTCTGTGTCCTCCTCCCGCAGCCCCGGAGGTCAAATAGCAGCCCACATCCATTCTGCATGAGAGGCCTTGGAGGCCTGGTGTGGGGTCCCCTGAACTCCCCAGGACAGCTGCATCATCTCGATGGCTCAGAGCTCTCTCTGCAATGGGGCGAGCTGGCCTCCTGTGTCCTAGCAGCCACATAGTTCTGGGCACCAGGCGTCGGTCCACACTGAGCTGTGAGCCAGAGGCCACCATCCCATCCCGAGGGCCAGGAAGGCCCAGGCCCTGTGACTCCCCTCCCATTCCTTCCTTCTCGCCTTGCCCTGCCTATCTTTGTCCTCCTCCCCTCTTTCCTCCTTTTTTTTTTTCTCTTCTCTTTTCAAGGCCTCCAGTCTGCATTTGTGGCCCTCTGCATTGCCTAGTATCCTGGAAGCCAACTGCTCCCCAACAAATGAAAAACGGCAGAGAGTGAGGGCCAGGGACTGGGTGGGGGGAATGGCAAGGAAAAAGACAGTGATGCCTCACACAAGGCTCAGAGCCACCCAGGATGGGCCCAGTTCTACCCCACTCCCTGTCCCAGCCTTGCGGACCCAGGGCTCTGCTGCCCAGCACAAAGCTGACTGATCAGTGATTCCCACCCACTTCCTGTGACCTCTCAGGGACACTGCTCTCAGGAGAGGTCCTTCTCCGAGTCAAGCCGAAAACAAGCCCGTCTCTCTCTCCCTGCCCACCTACAGCAGCACATTGGAACAGGAACCAGACCTCAGACACAAGGAAGCGCTGGTGGTGAGCTTCCGGGCATTCTTCCATAAGTCCATATAACCCATCTTCACTGAGTACAGGCTCAGACTAAAACACAAAGGACACTGTTAACAAGACATGTCCTCAGAGCTCCCAGCCTGGTGTAGTGGACAGACCCAGGCACAGATAAGGATGGTACCAGCAGATAAGAGGCAGATTAGCCCTGGAGACACAGGATAGCACGGCTGCTAAGAGTTTGGACCCTGGAGTCAGGGCTTAGTTTCAATCCCAGCTCAGCCACTCACAAGCTGTGTTACCTTGGGCAAGTTCCTCGACCTCTATGTTCCTTTCTTTCCTCATCCGTCAGGTGACAAAATGACAGTGCTTCCATGTGCTCGTGAGGATTTAACAGGTTAAGATGCATAATGCACCTAGATTGGTGCCTGTTAGAGCAAATGTATATGAGTGCCAGTCATGGTTAACTAAGGGAGTTGTGTTAGGGGTGACAGCTGGGTTTTATGATTTTTTTAAGGCAGACATTAGGGGAAAGGGCATCCCAGGAAGAGGGAACAGCAAACTCAGAGAATCAGAGGAGAGAGCAAAGAGATCGTAAAGTAGGTCTGGAGATTGGTGGTTAAAGAGAGGTCCCCTGGGGGAGACCCTGCAAGGCGCTAAGAACCTGACCTTGCCTGGTTCCAGACTGACTACTGAGACCACCCCTGAGCTGGAGGAATAAGCCTCTTCTCCACAAGTGGCAAAGACAGAGACTCTTGAAAGCTGCAACAGAGAGGTGACTCATTCTATACAACGAATCCTTAATATGAGTCTCGGCTGATTTCTCATCAGAAACCATGGCGGCCAGAAGGCAGTAGGATGGCATATTTAAAATGATGAAAGAATAAAAAAACTGTCAAGAAAGAATTCTGTATCTGGCATAACTATCCCTCACAAAGGAAGGAGAAATGAAGACATTCCCACGTAAATAAAAGCTGAGGGAGTTTGTCACTGGTTGACTTGCCCTATAAGAAATGCTAAAAATTAAAAGACATTGAACAACAACAAAACAACCAATCCAGTTCAAAACTGGGCATAGGCAAGAGTTTGATTGCACCACTGCACACCAGCCTAGGTGACAGAGTGAGACTGTGTCTCCAAAACAAACAAACACAGGCATAGGACTGAAATAGACATTTCTCCAAAAAAGATATACAAAGAGACAAGAAGCACATGAAAAGATGCTCAGCATCACTCGTCATTAGGAAAATGCAAATCATAACCACAATGAGATATCACTGTACACCCGTTAGGATGGCTATTACAAAAAAACAAAACAGAAAATAAGTTTTGGCAAAGATGTGGAGAAAATGGAACCCTTATGCCCTGCTGGTGGGAATGTAAAATAATACAAATGTTGTGAAAAACACTATGGCAGTTCCTAAAAAAATTAAAATGAGAATTACCATATGACCCAGCAATTCTACTTCTGGATATATACTCAAAAGAATTAAAAGCAGAATCTCAAAGAGATCTTTGCACACCTATGTTCAAAGCAGTATTAATTATAATAGCTAAAACACAGACGCAATCCAAGTGTTTCTCAATAGATGAATGAACAAACAATATGTGGTATAAACATGCAATAAAACATTACTCAGCCTTAAAAAGGAAGGAAATTCTGACACATGCTATTGATACAACATGGATGAACCTTGAGGATATTATGCTAAGTGAAGTGAGTCATCACAAAAAGACCAATAGTGTATGATTCCACTTATGTGAGGTACCTAGAGTAGTCAAATCAAAACCAGAAAGCAGAATGGTGGTTGCCAGGGGCGGCGGGGAGAGGGGAATGGGGAGTTATTGTTCAATGGATAGAATTTTTATTTTACAAGATGAAAAGAATTGTAGAAATTGATAGTGGTGATGGTCACGCAACATTGTGAATGTATTTAATGCCACTGAACTATGCACTTAAAGTGGTTAAATGGGGCCAGGCACAGGGCTCATTCCTGTAACCCTAGCACTTTGGGAGGCTGAGGCGGGTGGATCACCTGAGGTCAGAGGTTCAAGACCAGCCTGGCCAACATGATAAAACCCCATCTCTACTGAAAATACAGAAATTATCTGGGGATGGTGGCAGGGACCTGTAATCCCAGGTACTCAGGAGGCTGAGGCAGGAGAATCACTTGAACCTGGGAGGCATAAGTTGCAGTGAGCCGAGATCACACCACTGTACTCCAACCTGGGTGACAGAGTGAGACTCTGTCTCAAAAAAAAAAAAAAAAATTGGAAAAAAAATTGGAAAAAAATTAGAACACAGTAGACAGTAATGCAAAGCCATATGAAAAAAAATAAAGAACGCTGGTAAACACACTTGCATAGATAAATAGAAAAGTCATATTTGACCAGGCACAGAGATAGGGTGTCTGTACTCCCAGCCACTTGGGAGGCTGACGCAGCAGGGTGGCCTGAGCCCGGGAGTTCAAAGCTGTAGTACACCACTATTGCACTTGTGAATAGCATCTGCACTCCAGGTTGGGCAATATAGTAAGACTCCATCTCTTAAACAAACAAACAAAAAACAGTATTGTTGTATTTTTGGTCTGTAACTACTTTCTTTTCTGTGTGATTTAAAAGACAAATGTATAACATAATGATACATCTATGTTAACTGGCACACAATGTACAAAGATGCAATTTGGACAATAACATAAAGGGGGAGAGAGAAAACTATAAAGGAACATAATTTTTAGATATTACTGAAGCTAATTTGGCCTTAACTCAAACTACATTGCTGTAGATTTAAGATGTTATTTGTAGGCCAGGTGCAGTGGCTCATACCTGTAATCCCAGCACTTTGAGAGGCTGAGGCAGGCAGATCACTTGAGGTCAGGAGTTTGAGACCAACATGGTGAAACCCCGTTTCTACTAAAAATAAAACAGTTAGCCAGGCATGGTGGTGCATGCTTGTAATCCCAGCTACTTGGGAGGCTGAGGCAGGAGAATTGCTTGAACCTGGGAGGCAGATGTTGCTGTGAGCCGAGATCACACCACTGCACTCCAGCCTGGGCGACAAGAGTGAAACTCCATCTCAAAAAAAAAAAGATGTTATTTGTAAACCTAAGAATAACCATTGAGGAAAAAACTTTTAAAATACACAGAAGAGTAAATGAGAATCAAAACAGTACTTTAGAAAAAAAAAGTCAATTAAACACAAAAGAAAGCAGTAATGAGGAATTGAGGAGGAAAAGATATAAGACATATAGAAAACATAGCAAAATGGCAGAAGTCCTTCCTTAACAGTAATTACTTTACATGTAAATGGATTAAACTCTCCAACCAAAAGGTAAAGATTGGCAGAATGGATCAAAACAAAACAAAGAAAACAAAAACCAACCACATGATCTAACTATATGCTGCTTATAAGAGATCCACTTTAGATCCAAAGACACAAATAGGTTAAAAGTAGAAGGATTTCACGCAAATAGTATTCCATGCAAATAGTAACCAAAAGACAGCTGGGATGACTATACTATCGGACATAGATGTTAAGTCAAAATCATTACAAGAAACAAAGAAGGACATTATATTTTACTAAAAACATCAATCCAACTGTTATCAACAGCCCACCAATTTACCTCCAAACCTCCCTCTGCCCACAAATCTGGGCCAAGTACACAGAGTCCCTGCCCTGGCCCCACCACGAAGCCGGGAATCATGACATACTGAAGCACAGAAGCCCTCCTTGTGGTCCTTAAAGACATGAGTCAGGTGCACTACAGAGCTCTGAGTTCTTATTCCAGCCCTGGCACCAGCTGGCCTTGCAGCCCTGGGCAAGTCCTTCTCCCTGAGACCTCAGTCCCTGCATGTTCATGAAGGACTACAGCAGCTGTCTCATGGCTTTGCATGTCCACCCTCTCCCAGGGAGGGCAGAAGCCTCTCCCATTCCCAGGCACCCTCCCATCCCTGTGCCCCCTGGGGACTCACTGTCACAGTTTTAGTCACAGGTGCCTTTCCTAGGTTTCTAAGCTGTCTCCCCACGTTGGTCTGGGAACTCCTCCAAGGCAGGGAATAGTAGGTGAATGCCTGCTCTCCCTGCCCTCAAGCAGGAAGTACGCTTCAGCTGCTTCTTTGGTCCTGAAAAAAAACCCAGCCCCAGGGAGCTGACCCGCTCTGTAGTTCCACAGGCCAAGCCCAGTGGGATCCATCTTGTGCTTTGCTGTTGATGAGTGAGAGGGCCTTGGGCACATTACTCAGCCTTCCTGAGCCTGTTTCCTCATATGCAAGATGCAGATTAAAAACTTCTTTTCCGGCTGGGTGCGG